TTTTGCACGGTTAGGTGCATTTCATCTTGTGACCACTTGGAAATAAACACCTTATTATGGGATCCTCTGACCCTCTTTAAGCAAGGGGTATACTTGAGGTTTTGTAGTGAGACTATATTGAACTTCTTTGTGAATCACTTATTTCCTTGTGTCCAACCTTTGATTGTGGTATAGACCCCGATGGCCCTCGTTGAAACCACCTGACACAGGTTACTATAACTTGGCTCTTTATCTAACTCCTAAAGCCAAGGGTTCAGGCAGTCGGGGGTTCAAATCTTGGCTGTGCCTTTTACATGGTGTGGACCTCACCACGCTGAGCCTGTGTATTCCTCCATAAAATAAGCTAGCCATGGTACCTTTGGGTTGTTGTCCAACTACACGAGGAAAGATACATACAGGGCCTAGCACAAAACTGTGCTCAAATAATGGCAGCTGCTGTTATCATTGGTAGTGGCTGAAGATCTGGTCCTGGCATTGAGGGTCTTAGGTACTCAGGATGGAGGGTGACTGGCCCTTAAACTTCTGAGTCCAGTCCTGTCAAGGTGGGGAAGGTGCCGAGGCACCCCCTGCACACCTTGCTCTCCCACCCCACATACATATCTGCTTTGTTGTGGGGGTATATTTTTTTGTGGTGGTTGTTGTTGTTAATCCTCAACCGAGGATATTTTTCCACTGATTTTTAGGGAGAGTGGAAGAGAGAGGGGGAAAGACAGAAACATCCATGTGAGAGAAACACATTGATTGCACGAGCCCACTAGGGTTTGGGCTGGGGAGAAGCCCACAATCAAGGTATGTGCCCTTGACGGAATCAAACCTGGGACCCTTTGGTGTGCGGGCTGATGCTCTGTCCCGGCCATATCTGTCTTAGTTCCACCTTTTCTTAAGTGTCTTTGCTGGAAGAACCTAGATGCCTTTCCTGGCAGCTACAGGTGCCCTTTAGAACGATGCCCCCCTGTGGCTGAATGAGAGCCTGCTTTGGGAGAGAGGGATGGACTGAGTTACCCAAACACTACTTCATGGGACACTTTAAGCATCATCACCTTCACCCTTTAGATAGGGAGGTCTTATCTCCATTTCACAAGTTCATACAACCAGTCATTTGTTGAAGACCTAAGATGTGTCAGGCACTGTGCCAAGTGCTCAGAGTCATGGAGCTTATAACCCAGTGGAGGGACAAAGGAAACAAACACATAGAGAGTATATAATGCATCACATGGAGACAGAATAAGAAGGAAAATACAGCAGGGCAAATGGATAGCTAGTGGTGGGCCAGGTCCTGCAGGGTTCTTCAGGGACCAACCAGGTCACTGCAGTTGTCGATGTGAGAGATGATGGAGGCTGGATGCAGATGGCAGGGTAGGGATGATGAGTGGCTGGATTTGGGATGCATTTGCAGCAGAACCTTAAGAGCCTGTTCATGGACTGGATGTGGGGTGAGCAGAGATGTAGTCACACAGCACAGAAGCTTGCTCAGCTGGGGCCAGATTGGCCACTAGAAGTCAACAATGTGCTTCCCTGTCCTAGCCTGAGAAAAGTGGACCTGGAAGAAAGTGTGAGTGTGTATGTGTGTGTGTGGCGGGGTGGGGGAGGGGGGGGTCGGGTTCCATGGGGGGGGGTGGGGGGAGACTTTCTTTCATTTGGCTCTGGCAGGGAGAAGTCCTGACAGCAGTTCCTCTGGAAATCCTAGTGGTTGGGCTAGAGAGCAGCAGAGAACCCACACTTCTGCACCAGTTGCTTCCATGGAATGAGCTCAGTCAGCTTGAAGGAGTTCCTGGTGGGGACTAGCATGTTTTGTAGCGCTGGTGGGTACACAAAAGGGCACTGCCGCTTTTTGGAAGATGCCATCCAAAGCCATAAAGACATGCTCAGCTCTTGCCGCACATACCTGCTTCTGAGGAAGCAACCAGATGTGCCCCAAACTGTACCTACAGGGTTGTTGGGCATGGTGTGGTTTACAAGACCAAACAGAAACACCACATATGCCCCACAGTAGAGACTAGTTTAAGCTGAACTTGTTAGGAAGGGCATCATCATAACTAATTTGCCTTTTTCACTGTGGATGTCATTCCATCAGGAAATGTCCCACGCATTGCAATATATTCTTGGCCTGGCCTATTGAACTCCCTTACTTGCCAACCAAGTTTTGGGATGATCCAAAATGTCCCTACCAATTAACAAAATGCCTCAGTTGAGCATCATCTTTACATTGCACTGTAAAATGGGATGCTTGAATTCAGAAGCTCCATAACCAGTGGCTGAGTATCCTTTATTTTTTTAAAAAACACTGTGTGCCGAAACCGGTTTGGCTCAGTGGATAGAGCGTCGGCCTGCGGACTGAAAGGTCCCAGGTTTGATTCCGGTCAAGGGCATGTACCTTGGTTGCGGGCATATCCCCAGTAGGAGATGTGCAGGAGACAGCTGATCGATGTTTCTCTCTCATCGATGTTTCTAACTCTCTATCTCTCTCCCTTCCTCTCTGTAAAAAATCAACAAAATATATTAAAAACAAAACAAAACAAACACTGTGAAAGCCTATCTGTGGGTGGATGAACCTTTCCCTCTGGGCCACCTAGAGAGAACCAGGACTGAAACCAGCCTGGATGCAGACCAGTGTGATCCTCGCTCTGTGGCTGACAAGCTCTCTGACCCTGGGATGGTCTAAACTGTGATGGCTGCATTAGATCCCTTCCCCTGGCTGGGTGGGAATCCCAAAAGGCCTTTGTGCCTTTCTAGATGATGCAGGTTTTAAGTGGTGTTTTTGTGATCTCTTCTGATATGTACTAGTGAAACTTAAGCAGAAACTCTGATAAATCTTAATAAAAATTTAAAAAAGCATGCCCTGGCAGTGTAGCTTAGTTGGTTGGGCGTTGTCCAGTGCACTGAAAGGTTGCCAGTTTGATTCTATCAGGGTACAGACACAGGTTTCGGGCTTTATCCCCAGTAGGGAACATGTCAGAGGCAGCTGATTGATGTTTCTCTCTCCCTCTCCTTTCCTTTCTTCTCTAAAACAAACAAACAAGCCGAACCGGTTTGGCTCAGTGGATAGAGCATCGGCCTGCGGACTCAGGGGTCCCAGGTTCGATTCCGGTCAAGGGCATGTACCTTGGTTGCGGGCACATCCCCACTGGGGGCGTGCAGGAGGCAGCTGATCAATCTCTCTCATTGATGTTTCTGGCTCTCTATCCCTCTCCCTTCTTCTCTGTAAAAAATCAATAAAATATATATTTAAAAAAAAAAACCCAAAACAAACAAACAAAATCTTTGGAGGAAAAAAAGAAACTCTGAAGCAGGGTAGGAGGGGGTTGAGTGTATGTGTACAGGGCCCGGGTTGGGGACAGCGTGTACGTATGTGGAGCGAGGTTTAGAGCATAACCTTTGGAAGCAAGCAAACCTTACCACTCACCAGCTGGGCTTTAGGTTTTGCACTGTAAAATGGGATGCTTGTGGCAAAGACGTACTTACAATGGTTGCTATTACACTTCTTCAAAGCAACCCATTATAAAGCATCGAACTCCATTGCCCTCATTCTGGTCCAATTCCCGGTGAAGGGCATGTACCTGGGTTGCATGGTCAAGGTGACAATAATTTACAAAGTTTTTCCAGACCGGCAGGTTCCACAGTTACTACCACCTGCTGGAGGACACTGGCAGATGCTGCAGCCCTGGCAGGCCCCTGCCAATTTGCGATCAGAAGCAACAAGCTGTGTGTGTCCCTTTCTCAGGATGGGTCTTGGGGAAATCCAAGCCATTCCCCAGCTCTGGATATAAGTAGTGTTGGTTCTTGGCTTGTTGCAGGGTGTGAAGCAGGATTGGTGATGACTGCTTGGAAAAGAGGATTGAGGGACATTGATTCAAAACCAGGAGATTCTGAGTCAGTGTTGATTCTAAGTCTGTGCTTCACTTAATTGGGAGGTGGAAAAGCTTTCAAGACCCCAGTGACCCTTCTTTCCCAAACTTGCACAGAAAAAAACCACACTTATTTATGGGGGAGGTCTGTATCCGACTGCCTAAGTTGCTGTAAGTCTGAAATCAATGGGGCAGAGAACTGTGAGGCGGAACCTGCACACCAAAGCCAGGCACTTACATTACTCTTACTCTCAAAATTTACTCAGCACAGGCCTCCCCTCCCCTTTCAACATTTGATTTGCCACACACATCATTATCGAATAGCTGGGTGAGATATATACATTGCTAATCCTCACCAGAGGTCATTTTTCCCATTTCTTTTTTCAGAGAATGGAAAGGAGGGAGGAAGAGGGACAGAAACATTGATTGGCTGCCTCCCGCATATACCGACAGGGCAGGGGACCAAATCTGCAACCCAGGTACACGCCCTTGACCGGAATTGAGCCTGAGATCCTTCGATTTGCAGGTCTACACTCTAACCGCTGAGATACACCGGCTAGGGTGCTCAGTGGTATTTTGATTATTGCTCACTAAGATACCCTGACTCTGAACTCAGGTTGGCATGAGCTGTTTCCCAATGAAAAGATACCCCATCTATTCCCTAGGTACACACTTCTGCACATGGAGTAAAGCAATGGCATAGAAGCTGAGAATCACCAGGGTGACAATGGCCCAGATGATGAGGGAGGAAAGGCCCGAGGCAGACAGGTGAAATCAGAATCTCAACTGGTTTGAAATTCCCAGGGTTTGAGCGAAAGGAGCACAGGGAATATTTATCTTCATCTGAAGGAGTCATGTGCATCTATATCTGGGGGACTTTTGCTGCTGCCTGGTTTTATCTGGGCAAGAGATTTGTCCTTATGGGAGTAAGTGGCTGCAAATCCTCTTTCTACAAGTCCCCCACTTCCTTCCTTATAAAGGGGGAAATCCTCCACTAGTCATCGTGGGAGAGGCAGGTGGACATACAAGTAGATGGGTATTGTGGACCACAAGCAATTTTTATGCAGGAAGGTTCTTCTCACACGCCCTGGAGAGAAATTATTTTAAAGCAATCAAAGCCTACTTCAGTGGGAGAGGTTCCCTGGAACATGCTGGTGATATTCCTTCCATTTTTTTAGCTGTTTTTATTTTTTTTCTTTAAAGTCCATTGATCGTCACAAAAACCCAGGAAATGCAACTAAGGAGAAAACAAATGTCCAACGGAGATCTAAGAACCCAGAGCTACGGAGGAGACGGCACTGGACTGCTGGGTGTTCAAGAGGGGGCGGGAGGGGCAGTCTCCACGGGGCAGCTGGCCATGGGAAACACAGGAAGGTGAGGCCACCTGGCAGGGCCGGGTGGTTATGTTAATCGTTGCACGATGACGGCGTTGAGCAGGTTGGCTTCCTTAAGGGTCTGGTTCTCGTCAGCCAGCTCTTTGTTCGGGAAAGTAGTCATGAGGACAAAGCTGGTGGCGGCCATGGCCGGCCGGGCGTCCACAATGAAGAGTCGGATGTCACTGATCCTGGTGGAGCAGGGATGAGTGGGAAGTGGGTGAGCAGTGCCCTTCTCTGCTGCCCACAAATCCCACCCTGCAGCAGGATGCACCACATCCCCCAAGCCCCCTCCCCTGGCCCTGTCTTCTAGAGAGTGGCCAAAGCTCTCCTTTGGAAGCCCATCTGAGCAGGCCACTCCCTTGCCTGAAACCCTTCAGGGTTACTCCCATTTTCTTTGGGAGAAATACCCATCTCCTTACTGTGGTTCCAAGGCCTGACCAATTTTACACCACCCTCCTTCTCCTTTCAGTTCTTCTTCATGCTATGCTCCCTGCCTACATTTGGGTTCCTCTTTCTAGAGGCTCCTCTGCCTGATTCTTTTTCCTGTAATCCTAATCAAACCTTAGGCCTCAGCTCAAATGCTGCCTCCTTAGGGCAGCCTTCCCCCCCAGCTCCATCCCCTGATCTTACTCCCACAGTACTGATCAAGTTTGTAATCAAACAATTTTGGGATATGATTAAGGTCTGTCTCCCCCTAAAGACCATGAATTCCACAAGGGCAGCAAATACTATGTCTCTTTTGAAAACCACTAAAACTATTAGTGAGAAGAATTACTGAAGGTCAGTAACCCTTGAGTGCCAGGAATCCCTACTCTAGATACTGCTTGTGTCCTGAACCTGGTGACCACAAGAAGAGTCATCTGAAACAGCCAGCCTTCTCCCCTAGAGTGCTTAAACAGAAACTTCTTTCTACCTCCAACACTTAAAATTTATGTGATTCACAATCTGGCACATCTAAGGGCGTAGACATCCATGATACAGTCTGAGACCTCCAGCAGAGTCCTCTTACCCACCAGCTGGTAAACTCTTGGGGTGGGCTGTCCACCCGGGGGAGTTAGCAATCATGCTGAAAGGCTGGAATTACTGAGTGAAATGAAACTGAGGCAAAGAACTCAGACAAGTGACAGGAATTAATTCCTTTAAACACAAAGCACCTGACAGTGCAGTGAACAGTTCCTACTGAACAAGAAATGTTTGAACAAAGATTCCATGTGCTCCTGGGGCTTGTTTCACAGCTTACTCAACACGAGAACCTTGTCAACACTCAAGGATTATCAAGCCATTCACTGAGTCCCACATGTGGGTTCTGGTTCACCTGGCCTATGATTGATGACATTTAGACACTGCTAGTCTAGAAAAAGGAGTTGTCAAATATCTTTACTCTATCCTCCCCTGCTAATCACTTCATTACTCTGTGTCTGTAAAATGAGGGAGGCAGTTTGCTTTGATCCAGGCCAGATGATCTGAGATAGTAGAGCAGGTGTTCTGGAATTCTCAAATGCCAGATCTGGAAGAGACCTTAATAGCCTGGTCATTTTCAGAGGCCCCTTGTGGGAAGGAGGGGGAGAAAGCCATGGGTGGGATGCTGGTACTGTGTCTCCTCTCCTCTCTAGCAAGCACAGCTGTTCAAATTTTATCTGTTCTACCTTTGGGATTTAGCACGAGATTTCCTTTGAACAAAGAGTTTGATGGCTGAAAAAATCCCTAAGGAATCCAATCCCCTAATTTTACAGGTAAGGAATGAGAACCACAGTAGGTAAGAGAGCAATCACTGGCCACATTTAATGGAATTAGGGGCCAAAGGCTTCAGACTTGCATGCTTTCCATTCCACTGCCTCCTTTTCGAAAAGCATGGAGTACCTGCTGGGGTTAGAAGAAAAAACAGCCCCCTGCCTCCCCCTTTGGTGGGAATCTCTGGGACCCTCCTAAAATAAGGTAGGCCAGACAATATAAGGTACCTGTGGCTGTGATTAAATTTCTGCACCAGCCTTCCGCCATCAGCAAGCCGTATTTGGATGTTTGTGGTAGGCTGTGACTCGTCGATGGAGATGGAAGAGCTGGCTTTGGCTTCATTTTCTGCTTGCTGGGCTGGAAAGACGGTATTCAATACCTGGGGTGCAGTGCTGAGGAGAGAGGATCCTGTCAGGACACTAACAAAAACAAGGCAGGAGGGAAATGCTGTCTCAGATTTGTACTAAGCATTTGCTGCACCTGGCATTGTGTTTGGTGTTGCTGAAACAGGAATGACTAAGTCAGAATGCCTGCCCTCATGGAACCTACAGGCCCAGCAGAATTCTCCTCAGACTCTGAGTTACTGCTAGCTCCCCCTCACTCCTAATAACATTGGGCAAGTTATTCAATCCCCCCTTCCTTGATGTCCTCACATGAATAAGGGCTTAAAGAGAGGAAAGCTGTATGCATGGCAGCCTGGGGTGGGAGAGACCGTGGCCGGAACTTGGAGGGTCCAACAGACCAGGATGTGTTTAGCTTCAGAGAGGTGGAGGGCAGAATGGGGAGAGGAGCACTCCAAGTCTGCAGTGGAGGCAGGCTTGACACAGCCTGGCAGTGACTGATGGGACATAAGGGATGAGTCTAGACCAGCCGTGTGCAAACTACGGCCCGCGGGCCGGATCCGGCCCGTTTGAAATGAATAAAACTAAAAAAAAAAAAAAAAGACCGTACCCTTTTATGTAATGATGTTTACTTTGAATTTATATTAGTTCACACAAACACTCCATCCATGCTTTTGTTCCAGCCCTCAGGTCCAGTTTAAGAACCCATTGTGGCCCTTGAGTCAAAAAGTTTGCCCACCCCTGGTCTAGACTCTTTCTCTGTGATGGACTTTTCAGGCCTGCATTCCCTACTGAAATCTCACTCATGAGTCGATTTCATACTCATGTGCCAACTATGAGAAAGGGGGGTGGATGCGGGATTTCCTGAAGACCAACTAAGTGCCCGGCACCATAGGGGTTGATTATGTCTTATGAATAAGACACGGTGTCTGCTGCAGTGTTCAGAGCTCGCAGATGGACTGGGGCTGGAATTCACCCACTAGCCATGGTGTGTTGAGCAAGTTACTTAAGCTCCCTTAATTTCAACAAGGGTAGTAACAAGGATTTTTAACAAGGGTTAAGGCTACCAGCTTTGCTCAGTTTTTGTAGGGATTTAAGGAGTGAATCAAATAAAGCAATTAGGGTAGCTGACAAACAAAATGTACATAGAACTCCCAATTCTCCACAACCATTTAAAGCCTTTGTCTTTCTCCTGTAAACCACCATACATCTCACCCTCAGCCTTTCTCTTAGTTCAGTGGTCGGCAAACCGCGGCTCGCGAGCCACATGTGGCTCTTTGGCCCCTTGAGTGTGGCTCTTCCACAAAATACCACGTGTGGGCGCGCACGTATAGTGCGATTGAAACTTCGTGGCCCATGCGCAGAAGTCAGTTTTCAGCCTGGGCGAGTCTATTTTGAAGAAGTGACATTAGAAGAAGTGTGGGTACGTTCGCTGAGGTCGACCCCTCAGACTGAGGATGTTTTCAGCAAAGGCCAGCTTAGGAGTAACCTAATTAAGTTAATAACAATGTATCTACCTATATAGTTTAAGTTTAAAAAATTTGGCTCTCAAAAGAAATTTCAATCGTACTGTTGATATTTGGCTCTGCTGACTAATGAATTGCCGACCACTGCCTTAGCAGATGCCCTGGCCTAGGCCTTTGCAGATCAGAGGCTATTAGACGAAAGCTTGCTTGTTTCCCCTCAAAGCCGCTAATCAGATCAGTCCCTATACCTCTCCCTTCCCTCTGATCTTTAAACCTAAGAAGGGTACTCTTAGCACATTCAACTGGAAGTCGTTTCCCAAGTGTTCTTCCTGGGGTCCTAGTCCCTTGGGATATCTCCAGGAAGGTTTCAGAAATGCCACATATTACTACACCAGCAGCATCATGGGGCACTAGTGTATTAAAGGTCTTGAGAGATTGTGCGGTTAAGGCAAACTTATTCTAGCACCATGTTCTTTTCATGTTACACTTGTTGATCACTTGCAAAGAATTTCAGTCTACTAAATGGCAGCCCATTATTATTCAGGAGTCATTGTGATGCTGGAGAAAGAGCATAAGACCGGCCATCTGGTCCCAGTTCTACCACTAAATTAAACAAGAGGACTGGCCTTGAACAAGGCACTTGACTTCCCAGGCCTTCAGTTTCTCCAGGTGTAGCACAAGGAACTGTTCTGCTATGAGGATTAGATAAGATAATGTATGCAGAATGCCCAAGATAGGACACTCCAAAAAAGAAAGCAACTGATATTTTTGGCTTTCTTCCTAGCACAGCCTCTTGCATAGAGCTGGTGCTCATCATCTGAAGGTCAAAGAAAGCCTGACACATGGACTTGCCATGCGTCTGACTGTTTCTTTTGCATACTCTGAAAATAAGGTGGGTTAGGGAAGCATGATGACTATAGTGTATGTTTACGAAGCACCCATTACCAAGCTGGACCCTGTGCTGAGTACTTTACAAGTATTAGTTCACTTAATCCTCACAACAGCCTGCAAGGAAGGGATTCAGCACCTCCACTTTACAGATGAGGAAACCGAGGCACAGTGGGATTAAGCAACTCACCCAAAATTCCAGTGTTGGTTCTAGGTGAAGCCAGGATATAATCCAAGCTGTCTCGCTCTAGGTCCTGTGCTCCTAACACCTACCACACTCTCCTGCCATGTCTGGGAGTCAGGCAGACCTAGACTTGATTTCAGAAACATTACCCCCAAGATGAAATTTCCTCATCAATAAAATGGGAGTTAAACAAAATCCCCCATAATGACTAAGATAATAGCTAAAAATAATGCACCATACCCAGAATATAGAAGAAACACAAATAAAAGTCTATGTGGCTATGTAAAAACATCCAGGGTAGCCCTAGCTGTTCGGCTCAGTGGATAGAGTGTTGTCGGCCTGTGGACTGAAAGGTCCCAGGTTCGATTCAGGTCAAGGGCACATGCCTGGGTTGTGGGCTCGATCCCCAACGGGGGGGCATGCAGGATACAGCCAATCAATGATTTTCTATCATCATTGATGTTTCTATCTCTCCCTCTCCCTTCCTGTCTGATATATTCCAGGGTAAAATGTAGTATGGAGGGACATGGCAGTCTTGCAAACTCAAAGACCTAAGTAACCACAAAGGATGGTCTGAAATTAAAATTTAACTAAAAGCAGTTGGTGGGTAGTCACCTCCTAGGCCGGTATCTTCACTAATAAGGTCATCCTTTACCTTAACCGAGCCTATCTATCTTTTTGCATCTATGATAACACATCCTTGAAACATCTGGGTAACTTGTAACTTCCCTTTTTCTGGGCCCCTTGGTTCACAATCTAATGTGCCTGGGCGCCAGGACAGATACCACAAATTCCTTTGTTGTCACTGTTGTCATGTTAATTGTTGATTGTTAACTATCCTGCACCCACTTATGTGTCTATCATTTTGCTTTTTAACCAATCCCAGATGTTTCCCCACTTTGCTTTCTCCAACCTCTCTTGTCTATCACCAATGGATTTCATGTAACCCACCTACATCTCCTCCTTTGATTGCAATGTATAAAAATAGATAAAAGACCGCCATTTTCTGGAGCATTATCCCAAACCATTGAGATACTGCTTCCTGGTAACTGTCGACAGTTTGGCTCAAATAAACTCACAAAAATTCTTTACAGGTTTAAATATTTTTACGTTAACATGTAGAATTATGTACCTGAAACCTGTATAATTTTGTTAACCAGTGTCACTCCAATCCTATCTAATAATAGACAAACATGGTAATTGACCGTACCTTCGCTACATCTCCCATCGGCTAATCAGCATGATATGCAAATTAACTACCAACAAAGATGGTGGTTAATTTGCATACATAGGCTCCAAGGGGTGGAGCGAAGCCTGGCGGCCCGGGACAGTGGAGCAGCGAGGCCTGACGTCTCCGGGGCCGGCGGAGCAGCGAGGCCTGACGTCTCCGGGGCCGGTGGAGCAGCGAGGCCTGACGTTTCCTGGGCCAGCAGAGCAGCGAGGCCTCATGGCTCTGGGGCCGGCTCTGGCCAGAACTCGGCCAGAGCGAAGGCCTGGGCCCCGGGCGCCAGAGGCAAACCGGTGCCAGCAGCCAGGGGAAAGGAAGGCCTATTGCACAAATCTCTTCATGCAACAGGCCTCTAATAAACTCAATAACAAGAAAAAAATAAGCCACAGAATCCTTATTTGTAGAATGTGGATCAAAACAGGATTAAAGGCCATAATACATATGAAATGTTTAGTATAGTGCTTAGTTAACTATAGAAAAACACTCAAATAGCTGATTGCTATCATTCTTCAAGGTCCTCTTCCACTTATGTTTGCCCAAATTCTGGACCCAAATCACTCAGAGATGCTACTGTCTACCCATGGGCTGTAAATGGAAGGTCACTTGAGAGGCACTCCAGCCTAAGCTGAGAGGTAGGGAGTGGAGGAGAAACCTCAATACCAGCTTTGTGATTCTAATTTGAAGCAAGACATTCAAAGAACATTAGATCTAGATTGTTCTAATCATCGTGTAGGATAGCCATGTGCATCCGTTCAAGCGATGCCCAGTCTGTGTCTGGTGCTTGAGAACTGCTATCACCTGAGTCATTCCTCTCCAGCAGTGGCTGGGCCATCTGTAGCAATGGGAGCACTTCATCCAGGGGCAGGAATGGTCAGATCAGATCAGACATCTATCAAAAAAGGAGTTTCTTTACTGTCTCCCTGAAAATATCATGAGTCACAGGGAAATTGAGTCTTATTCAGATCAAAAGCTTGAATCACCTGACTGCTCATTTCCTTTGTAGTGAAAATAAAATAGACACTAAGATGCTTTGTTTCCACAATTATAAGTTCTGAGACCCTGCCATCAAAATTGACTACTACAAAGCAAGGTGAGCAGCCAAAGCTCATCCCCACACTGTAATGACCCAGCTCCACCCAAGTGCAACTCCTGGTGTTTGTTACTCAAACTCAAATAAATGCAGTCTTATCCAAACCTTCAAATTAGTTCCCATGCAAACTGCAACAGCTAAAACAATAAAGTAAGTGTAATATAACTGAAAGAATTTTTTCAACTGAGAACAATCTATTCATTCACTTCAAAGTATTTTTCCAGATCATCAGAGAAAAACCCCCAGGATTGATTTTTGAGGCAACTCTGAGGAAATTTTTTTAAACTTTTGGTTCCTGATCATTTTAGTTGACAAGATGACAATGGAAAACAGTAAAATTTATGGGTAAAATTAAAACAGACACACAAAAAAACAAACAAAAAACCCCCCACAAAATGGAACAACAACAAAAAACAAACCCAAAAGGTTATCCATCTGGTTTAGACTAAAAAGCTAAAATACCATCTCACTTAACTATATAAAACTTTTTTTTAAAGCCCTGGCCAGTGTGGCTCAGTTGATTGAGCATTGTTCTGTGCACCAAAAGGTTGCCTGTTTGGTTTTTTTTAAAAGTAATTTTTGACATATTTTTATTGATTTCAGAGAGGAAGGGAGAGGGAGAGAAAGATAGAAACATCAATGAGAGAGAATCATTGATTGGCTGCCTTCTGCACGCCCCACTGGGGATCGATCCCACAAGCCAGGCATGTGCCCTTGACCAGAATCGAACCCAGGACTCTTCAGTCCACAGGCCGACGCTTTATCCACTGAGCCAAACCGGCTAGGGCAAAAGGTTGCCAGTTTGAGTCCCCATCAGGGCATATGCTTGTGGGCTCTATTCCCGATAGGGGGCGTGCCAGAGGCAGCCAACTGATTGATATTTTACTCTCACATCAATGTTTTTTCTCTCTCCCCCCCCCTCTCTTAAAAAACAAAAAAAGTCAATAAGAACACATTAAAAATAAAAAACCACCAGAACTGAAATAAAATGAAAGTGGAACTGGCAATGAACATTTATTTAGCTGACAAACACCACATCTGATTATCTCCATCTGTGGGTTCATCCTCCACACTAATAAAGTATGTATTCCCATCCTGCTAAAACAGCCTGCCTTAAAAATATTTCATTTTTTGAGATGCGGAGTCTTGTACACCTAATATTGTTGGATCTTCTAATAGTAAAAGCATTTCCTGTTAGTATTATGAAACTGAACAATCCCCAAACTACATGGTGTTCTGAGCCTTTTCCTATAATTGCTGGTGGGTAAAAAACTGGTAAAACCTTTTTTGGAGATCAATTTGACAACGTAAAAATGTGAAGACCTTTGGAGCCAGCAATTTTCCTCCTAGTCCATGATTAAGGGGCACACAAAGATTTAATTAGGGACATTCACTGCAATGTTGTTCATAGTACTGGCAGCTGCCTAAATGTTTAACAGCAGAGACTGGTTCAATTATAGCACATACGTAGGGCAGAAAATTATATTAGCATTAGAAATAAAGTTATAGAAATACATCTGCTGATATGGAATGACAGCAATACTATATGGATTAGGCAAAATAGCAGGTGCTAAAACAGCATGTTTACACACATACTGTACATATACCAGTAAAACTAGAAGGATACTTCCAGGATACTGACTGAGTATACTGGGAGTTAGGTTTAGGAATAGTTTTTATTCTTTATCTGCATTTTCTATTTTTTTAAAAAGATAAACACAATCCATTTTAATAATATTAAAAGAAAAAAATTATCTGGTACTCTACAAAGCTTACCATAGCTGACAGGGAAGCTACAAATGGACTACCTTGAGAATAGTTGTCCTGGACTAACCCAGGACCCCAATGTGGTAGGTGAAATGATGAGCAGGGTGGACTTAACTAAGTTGGTTCTGGTAAATTATACTCTGTTGGTCTCTAATGCCCTGAGCTATGACCCTTGCCTCTGATGAGGCATGATGGCCGACAGGGAGGTAGGGAATCCTAGGAGAGGGCCAGCCAGCAGCTCAAAGAGCACAGCTGTTGATAGACCACATTTTGATCCCTGCAGATGAGGGTGAGAAGAGCAAGGGCAATGGAAGAGCTACCAGATCTAGGTCAGAGAGAATATCTTGTGATGCAGAAGTGTGGGAAGGAATGCCATTAGAAGCCTGTGTTCTGGCTCCAACACATACCAGTCATGTACCCCAGGGTAACCCTTAAAGTCCAAGAGCCTCAGCTTTCTCTTTGTAAAATAAGGACTATGCTCTGAGTGCCTCTCATGTGTACTCAGTTCCCTCTGAAGAATAATGGTCAAGTGAATGGGACCCTAAGAGAAGGCAACCTGCATATAGACTGATCAAGGGTCTGGTGGGAGAACTCTGTCTATCAGAGGTAACAGTGCCTATCAATTAACCAGATCCCATCAGAGGTCTGAATGCAAGATGGAGGCCGTGGAAGAGGACACAGGCAGAAAAGTCACAGGAAGTGACAGAGTGAGTATCAGGAAGGACCACAGAAAAGATAAGAGCTAACATAATGGTTGACCAGTAGCCCGCACTGGGCAACAGTATCCTTGAGCTTTTCTGGATCCTGAACAATGCTGCTGCAGGGCTTGCTGGGAGGGAAGAGTCCAAGATCCCTTATTCCCCCTGAATCCCCATTTCAGATGACCTGAGTATGTTTCTGTTTCAGCCTAAAGCCATCAAGGCTTCACACTCTAAATTACTGAGTCAAAGCAGCAATGTGTTACCCTTACTGCTCATTGTGGGGCAGTGCTCTGTGTGCTCCTCAAAACAATAATCAAAGAGGTAAGGACTCTCATCAGTCCCATTTTATAACTGGGAAAACTGAGGCTATACAATCCAAGGTCATGCATGGGGCTAGAAAATGAAGATTTAAACTCAGGTCTATTAACATCAAAGTCCACATTCTCCATAATTTTCCTCCCATAAAAATAAAATGTGAAATACTTTGTAAAGAGTAAAGACTTATACAAAGTGAGCAATACACAGGATATGCTGAGCCTAAGAGGCAGTTCCACTCCTACCTGTGCTGCTCCTTACCTGCCCAGTTTCTGACCCTCGCCAGTGAAGGCTTTGAAGGCTCCTTTGGGCTTCACAAAGTCCTCATCTCGATGGTCCTCCATGTCCAAATTCACCTGTCCACCATGAGCTAACCTCCGCAGCTCTGCTGGCACCTCCCTGCAGGAGAAAATGCAATGCTGGGACCCACACAGAGAAGGATGGGAATGACAGTGATAGTATAAACTTTTCAGTGAAAATCGCTGGGCCTCCACAGAAAGCTGGCTACTCTCATGGCTATCTGTTTGCCTCCCCTTCTCTCTTGTCTACTCAAAGGCATGGTAGAGACCTGTATTTATTTGGTCAGTTGGTTATGCTCAAGGACCAAACAAAACAAGACACAGAAGCAGATCTGTGAATCTATACCTCAGCTGTGCTAAATCTGCTTACAAATGTTTATTTCTTAAATAGTAAATACTCAGATCACCCATCTCACTCAATGACATGGAATCTAGAAGAGGATTTTTCTGCTCACCCTCTGCGGATTGACTCCAGAAACTGGGCATTAGATGGGTCTTGGTAGCTTCTGAGTTCACCATTGTCCAGGCTGAATCCACTCTTCCAGAGCTTCAACACTATATGAACCTGTGACAAGAGGAGGTAAGCAGTCCATACATTGTCAGGAACCTCGCAAGCACACCATTGTGAACCTGCAAGTTAGCATGTTTTTACTATTTTACTGTGCCATTATTAAAACACAGACAGACAGACAGCCTGGCTGGTGTGACTAAATGGTTGAGCATCAACCCATGCACCGAGAGGTCATAGGTGCGATTCCCGGTCAGAGCGCGTGTCCAGGTTTCCGGCTCAATCCCCAGCAGGGGGTGTGCATGAGGCACCCAACTGATGTTGATGTTTCTCTCTCATCAATGTTTCTATCTCTCTCTTAATCTCTCTCTCTCTCTCAAATAAATAAATAAATAAATACAGCACAAATATTAATGTACGCTCAGGAAATAACCAATCAAATAAGTATTAACCTAAAATAAGAAGATAATATAGCACAGATTAAAAGAATGGGCTTTAATTTAAGCAGACCTGGGTCTGTGCTTTCATTTTGCCAGTCGCTAGCTCAGTGGCTGCTCTGAGCAAATGACTTAATTGAAACTGTGGCTTCCTCATCAGAAGGGTTGCCAATGTGCTTGGCATGTAGCTTGTGCTCAACTAAACTACCTACAGACTATTTAGCAGCCATTAAAAATATCTAGAACTCCCTATATGTATTCATAGAAAAGGGTCTAGAAGACTAAAAACCAACATATTAGCAGCTGCCTCAGGTGAATAGAATTTCTATTTTCTTCTTCCTGGCCTTTTATTTTGGAATAAAAGCCCAAATGATTAAAAAATGAATACATTATGGAAACTAATGGTGACAAGGCTATATGAAAAAGTTTATGGCCCTAACTGGTTTGTCTCAGTAGATAGAGCGTCACCCTGAAGACTGAAGGTCCTGAGATCAATTCTGTGTCAAGGGCACATGCCCGGGTTGTGGGCTCGATCCCCAGTAGGAGGTGTGCAGATGCAGTGGATCAATGATTCTCTCTCTTCATTGATATTTCTATCTCTTTCTCCCTCACCCTTCCTCTCTAAAATCAATAAAATATATTTTTTAAAAAAGCGAGAGAGAACTTTTAAAAAAAGATTATGGCATTAATATTAAATTAAAACAACCTCAAAATTGTTTATCCTATATAATAAAAGCCTAATATGCAAATCGACCAAACTGTGGAATGACCGGTGGAATGTCTGGTTGTTATGATGCACACTGACCACCAGGGGGCATATGCTCAACGCAGGAGCTGTCCCCTGGTGGTCAGTGCGCTCCCACAGGGGGAGTGCCACTCAGCCAGAAGCCAGGCTCACGGCTGGTGAGCGCAGCGGTGGTGGCAGGAACCTCTCTGTCTCTGTGACAGCGCTAAGGAGCAGTGAGCAGGCGGGGGATAAGGAGTGAGGGGTCCCAGAGTGTGAGAGGGTGCAGGCGGGGCTGAGGGACCCTCCCCCTCAATGCACAAATTTCGTGCACCGGGCCTCTAGCATAGTATGATTAGTCTTACTGAAGGGGGGGACCCTTATGCACAAGGACAAGAGAACTGGGTAATAGTAAGGAAATTTTCTTTTAAAAGTTGCATTTCACGCCTCTTCTGGTTGTCTGGAGATCATTCTTTAGCTTTGCCTATCCCACCAGACAACCCTGAATATACTGCCCCTCTGCCTGAGATCCATGGAGTGCCAGTAGACTTCTTTGTTTGTCCATCCCCTCTGCTTACCCCTTCTCAGAGCCCTCTGCCCAGCCAGATGAAAGCTACCTTGGATTCTCAGGTAAGCTTCTCTGTTCATGGGCCACAGCAAGGGCACTGTCTCTTCCCTTTTACAGGCTGCTGGCTCATATGTAACATGACCAATCCCTTCTGAAAAATGGTAGAACAGTTCACAAACTTCCCCCTAAGGAAGGTAGATGCACACTCACATCTTGACTGGAATGCCGCCTCCTTTCTCCTGCTACGTAAGCAGACTCTTCCTCTGGTGCTGCCCCAAGGCGGTAGCCACCCCCAGCAAATGGCTATAAAAGAAAAATCATAAAGACTTGAGGAACGGGTCAATAGAGGTGGGGTTACTCACATACAAGGATGTATTAAAAGCTCATTAACTACTAGATCCACTTTCCACAAATGCAGAGCTACAGGCCCAGGTGGAATTGCAGAGCCATTTACATGCCTGGTCATTAAGTGGCCAGGAAAAGGGGAATGCTGCTTGGCTCAAGGGAACAGTTGCTCCTCGCTCTAGTTAATCACCACCAGGCAGAAATTGGTATATAGGATAACAGCAGAATTTTTGATTTCCCCAAAGAGACAGAAATCCAGATTTTAAATAAAACAGGTACCTATTAATTCAAGTAAAACAAAATAAAGCAAAACACTAAGTCAAATTGGATAGGCCATATAAAATGTGTGCAGAACCCAACCCAGACCACAGGTCACAAGTTTGAAAACATTGCTCCAAATCTTGATTTCATATTAAAGGGTGGGAGAAACTGCGCTGCTCTTCTGTGTATGAGAGTCAGCGACAAATGAAAAACAAAACAAAAATTCAGTCACTACTGGGGTGAGGAGGGCCTCCTTCTCTTGCTGGAACCTGAGTCCTGTGGACAGAGACGAACTTCTATGCTCACTTTTGGTTTACTGGTCTCTCCAGGGCTCCTGGTCATTTGCTCCACAGCTACAGCTCCATGTTCCTTGGCACCTTTAAATAGATCATCCACCAGCTCATTGGGACTTCTCTTCCTGGGAGGACCAACAATCTGCTGTCCACTTCTCTCCGAGCCTCCAGCATAAAACCTGTGCGGAAAATGCGCATCTAACACCAAACGTACTTGAAAACACAAATACAGTATGTACCAGGTGCTGGGCTAGGTGCTGGGCACACTGAGGAGAAGGGTACTTTGCCCATTTTTAAGGAACTTTCTATCTAGTTGGGGACACATGTAAGGAGGCAGGCAGGCATAACGCAGTGTGAGCAGCAACAGAGGCCAGTATAAGGGGTGCTCTGGAAACACTGAGCTGGGGAGGACAGTCAAGGCTTCCTAAGAAAGGTGTCTTCGGAGCTGAGTCTTGAGTAAGAGCATGAGATTATCAAGTGAAGAAATCAGGGAAGGGCATTCCAGGCATGCATGATAGCAAGTCAGCTTCACAGAGTCCCAACTGACAATTAGCCATCCAGTGGCCAACACCTCTCCAGAACATAGCAACTATGGCCACAGTCACAAGCAGCTACCACTAGCAGTTCTGTGCTAATGGTGACAGTGGCATAGTTAGCACAGGCAGCGAGGCTCCAGTACTGGCTCTGCTGCTGAGTGACCCTGGGCAAGCCAGTGCATTGCCCTGTATCTTATTTTCCTTGTCTCTGAAATGGGAGGAAAAAAAATCACATGCCCTACCTACCTGCTCCTTAAGTCAGGGCCGAGGTTCAAATCAGCAGATGTATGCAAAAGAACAAGCACAAAGTAATGCACACATGTAAGGTGGTGTGATACAGCACCAAGAGCTCACCCAAGCCTTACCTCACCTTGCTATTCTTGTGACATATACTGGGGGCACTGTGGTGAGGGTATTTGAAAAGGTCAGGGATGCTCAAAAACAAGCCTGAAGGTATCCACATTGGGTTTTGCAATGGGCCAAGCATGGCTTGAGATTAAGTTAGCACTTTTTTACCTGGGTCTGAAAACCAGGAGTCACATTGCCTGGCTAGCTGCCTCCTTATTACTCCTATTCACAGCTGAGTCAATAGCATGTACTTGGGTAGGGGGAATTAAGAACCTATAAAAATCAGTCTCAACCTTTCATTTCCTGACATTCCCTAAGAAATGCAAGGCAGCTCTAACCAGTTTGGCTCAGTGGATAGAGCATCAGCCTGAGGACTGAAGGGTCCCAGGTTCGATTCCGGTCAAGGGCATGTACCTTGGTTGCGGGCACATGCCCAGTAGGAGGTGTGCAGGAGGCAGCTGATCCATGTTTCTCTCTCATCGATGTTTCTAACTCTCTATCCCTCTCCCTTCCTCTCTGTAAAAAATCAATAAAATATATAAAAAAGAGAAAAGAAATGCAAGGCAAAGCTATAGGCTTTGGCAAGAACACTACCACCAGAGTCATGAGGTCTAAAATGCTGAGGAGCCAAGGAAGTAATTAGGATGTGAAATGAAGAGTCAATGCCTGGAAGAAGAGGTCATTTAGGAGCAGGGCAGTCACATACTTGATGACATTGCCTGTCACTCAAGGAGTGTAAAACCCCAAAATTAACATTTATTTCTGAACCGTGAGTGTACCCAAGAAGGCTGAAGGCAGTGTAAAGTGTATTCAGATGAAATCAGAGAATAAAACACATGCAATTTCTCAGCCCACTTCCCAAATGACCATGATAACCTAACTGCATTTCCATAATGGTTATTACACAACGTTCCTTAGGAATGTGTGACAGACTGAGGCAGAGTCCAGGGAGAAGCAAAACCCGTGAAATGAGGCTGCAGCCAGTTCATTCTTGCTCATTCCGGGTACATGAAATTCTGCTCAATAGACTGTAAGGGATCTCCAAGCCTTGCTTATGAACTAGGGGCTTGTTCATCAACTGCCTTAAAATCATTCATGCCCACAGTCCATGGACACACACAATAATGTGATAAAGACCAGAGGTGGGAGGCAGGGGGCAGGGGTTTGCCCAGAAGGGGTCAACGGGGGGGGAAATGGGACATCTGTAATACTTTCAGCAATAAAAATTTTAAAAAAAACAACACTAAAGTAAATTCATTCAAAAAACAAAACAAAAAACATTCATCATTCATGGTCATGACCTGGTATTTTCATTTCTAGAAACTATTCTAAGAAAGTAATCTGAAATGTAGTCAACGATTAATAGACAGATATGTTCACAGCACTAATATTTATAGTGTTAAAAAATGAAACAATCTAAATGTTGGCCATCCATATGATGTATTATTATAGTCATTGAAAACACTTATAATTTTAATGACGTGAAGTATTTAAGATGTAGCAGTAACCCAACAGAACAAAAAACAAAATTATCTGACCGTCATCATGTAAAATACAGTATTTAAAACAAAGTATATTTATACACAGAACCAAGACCAAGTGAAAACAGGCCAAAATATTAATGTAGTTACCAAATAGTAGATGAGTGTTTGTATTTTTTTATTACACTATTCTGTATTTTCTATAATGAACACTAATTTCATAACATTCCTAAAAGTTAAAAACAAACAGTATGGGTGCATGTATAGTGTGGGAAAGAAACATTTATAAGCCTCTTATTGTTTATTATGTGATGTACTGCTTTTTATTTTATTTTATATTTTTATTAATATATTTTATTGATTTTTTACAGAGAGGAAGGGAGAGGGATAGAGAGTTAGAAACATCGATGAGAGAGAAACATGGATCAGCTGCCTCCTGCACACTCCCTACTGGGGACGTGCCCATAACCAAGGTATATGCCCTTGACTGGAATCGAACCTGGGACCCTTGAGTCCGCAAGCTGACGCTCTATCCACTGAGCCAAACCGGCCAGGGCTATTTTATTTTATTTTATTTTAAAATATTATTTTATTGATTTCAGAGAGGAAGGGAGAGGGAGAAAGAGATACAAACATCAATGATGAGAGAGAATCATTGACCAGCTGCCTCCTGCATGCCCAACACTGGGGATGGAGCCCACAACCTGAGCATGTGTCCTGACGGAAAATTGAACCGTGACCTCCTGGTTCACAGGTCGCAGCTCAACCACTGAGCCATGCCAGCAGGGAATGATGTATTGCTTTTTTTTTTAAAAAAAAAATGTTTTGTTTTGGTTTTTTTCACTGATTTTTTAGAGGGAGAGAAAAGAAGAGAAACAACAATGTGAGAGCAGAACATCAATCTGCCTCCTGCATACCCCCTACTGGGGATTGAACCAGCAACTTAGGCATGTCTCCTGACCAGGAATTGGACCAGCAACCTTTTGGTGCCCAGGAAGATGCTCAATTGAGCCACACTGGTCAGGGCTGTAATGCATTGCTTTTTTTAATTAAAAAGAAAATGCTGGAAAAAAATACACCAAAAATATTGATACCTGGTTACCTCTGGGTTGTGGTATTATAAGTTATTTTTTCTTTCTTATTGATTTGTTTCCCTTCCCATAATTTTCTTCAACAAATATTTTAACAATTAAAAACAAAAATAAACCCAGAATATACCAAAATAAGAGCAGTAGTAACAGGGCACAGGGATTACTTCTAACCTATCTCTGGGAAGTGGGGGGAGACTGTTTCTACTATGTGTGTGACTAGTCCACAGTAGTAATAGCTAATGGTAACCAAACACGTTTATCCTTCTAGATGACTTACACATTACCATGACTTACACATTATCAAGGACTTTTCTGTGGACTATGCTCCCCCATGAAAGACTCACCTCTGGCCCTCTTCCTCTTCCTCATCTTCATCTTGGTCATGAATGAGGTCTTTGAAGGATGTTACCCTGTTATCGCTGGAGATGGAGAAAAGAACAAAATTATCTCAGGGAAGTTCATGAAAGGTAACCCCCATCACCAGCTGTTAAGGAGTTGAGGACACTGGGGTTAGATTTTTTGGTGCACAGGAAGAGGATCTTTGTAGAAGACAGTTTATATGTCTTCAAGTTTATATCTCTCCAAGTTTATATGTAAAATAATGTGGCATTTATTTCTTCAAGGTGACATAGGATTGAGAATAAGTTTAGAAAGGGGGAGAGGAACAAAATGGGGGTATGCACTTTTTAAAAAACTTACTAATGGCCCTATCTGGTTTGGCTCAGTGGAGAGCTTTGGCCTGTGGACTGAAGGGTCCTAGGTTCAATTCCGATTGAGGGCACATGCCCAGGTTGTGGGCTCGATCCCCGGTTGGGGGCGTGCAGGAGGCAGCCAATCAATGATTCTTTCATCATTGATGTTTCTCTCTCTCTCACCCTCTCCCTTTCTCTCTGAAATCAATAAAAAATTTTTTTTAAATAAGTATTTTTAGTGTTTAGAAAATAGCAGAGTTGTCTGAGGTGTGGTAGAGAGGCACACCCAAAATGGGTGTGTGAAGGATTAACTCCCTCTTCTGATGTTGTCTTACTGCCACTTTTTTTCTAGTTTAGATTTGTCCATGAAGAACAATCTTAGTTTTTCAAGGATCACAAGACACAAATTTTATGAAAACATTTCCTGTATTTCTTAGGAGAAAATAATAGCATTCCTATGATATGGGGGCAAGAGGGCAATACAGATTTAGTGAGGCTAGACAGGAAAGGAAGAATTGTTTAACTAGGAAGAAAGTTCCAGTTCAGTCTAGAAGGAAACAAGTAGGGGACAGAACAGGCTTTGAGGTTCCATCAACTAGAAATGGGAAGACAAAGACCAACTGATGAGGCGAATACATTCCCTGATCAAGTTAGTTGTGAGCAACTTCCTGGGCATTCTTTGATGCTCTATATGACATGGGTAAAAAAACCCCAAAAACAAAAAATCCTGGCTTTCTGTTGTTAAACACCTTCTAATACACATGTGTGCACCTGCTTGAGTAAAACACTTGTTCTGGATATGGGTTTCTTTCCCCAAAAGTTCTTATATCTAGACTCTGACATTACCTAATACAGATTCTGATGTCCACGTATCTGGGTCCGATCCCAACTTAGCGTCCTACCCTAGGATTCTGGGCATACTAATAAAGTTTCTAAGCCTTTGTTTTTTCATGTGGAAATGGAGATAATCATAGCACCAACCTCATAGGCTTTCTGTGAACAACCGGGGTACTGATGCATAATGTAGCACATTTCAAGTGCTACTCTTGAGCAGCGGCTTTCAAAGTGTTGGTCCTTGGACTGGAGCATCGGTATTACTTATGAAACTGTGAGAAATGCAAATCCTCGGACCCCACTTTAGACCTCTTCAAACAGAAACTATGGAGGAGTGTCTAGCAATCTGCTTTTAAGGAGCCCTCCAAGTAATTCTGATGCATGTTCCAGTTTGAGAAACTCTGCTCTGAGAGTTACCTTAATGGTATGGATGTCTCGAGGACACTGCCAAATTCAGAATATTTTGTCTATGTCCTCCACAAGTTGGCAAAATGTCTCAGGAATCTCAATTTTCAACATCAAAACTGTCTCTCCCAGGCTACCCTTGAACCCTGAAGTGGCACAAATGTCCTTTGCCAGACCACATTTTCTGCAGTGCAGATTATCCAATACAGAAACCACTAGTCACATGTGGCTACTGAGCGTTTGAAATGTGGTTAAGTACAAATATTTAATTTTAATTAAACAACCACATGAGGCTAGTGGCTATAATGGACAGTATAGTTTTAGATCAGACAATGGTAGTCCCTGAAATTCTCCAAAAGTATAGTTTTGTTAGATGGAAGAAAAAAACAAAATAGGAACTAACTACCTTTTGACCCTGTGCTAGGTACAGGGGTGGGAGATGCTGAACGGGGAAGTAGAAGTAACTCTGGAATTAGACAGACTTGGGCTTGAATCTGGCATAAGAGCAACTATGAGTTACTCAACCTTTCTAAGGCTCAGCATCTTGACCTGTGAAATGGTGAGCACCCTACCTACTTCCACAGCTACTGAAATATAAGAGAACGTGAGGATATCTGGCAGAGCTTGACAGATGTGGGTGCTCCTGAAATACCAGCCCCTACCACTTCTTGGAACTTATGATTTACTTAGTGATAAAAAACGAAGTTAAATGTCAGAAGAAGAGTTCACAAAAACACAGTAGAGATGTTACTGAGCAGAAAAAGGATATGGATCAAATAAGTGAATTACAGTTGTGACTGGAGTTCTGAGGAACAGGGTTGCGGTGTCCTGCCTGTGGGTTGGGGATAACATGCTCAGTAGCGAAGGTGGGGATGGAGGTAAACCCGGAGAGAAGCAGGAGATCTGGACAGGCAGAAAGCAAGAGTGGGCATGCCCCGTCCGATAAGAGGCTCAAACAAAAGAGAAAGAACCAAAAACAAGGCAAAATCGAGACACCAAGAAATCAGTGAGGTGAATGAGAAAAGGGGGTTACGATTAGGATGGCAAGTTCACTGCACTCTGGAGGACCCTGAAAGTCCACAAGGAGAGGCAGGACATAACTCAGCTGAACGCTGAATGCTGGAACCAGACCGCTGCATTTAGACCCTTGTTTACTAGCGGTGTGATCTTGGGAAAATGCCCAGCTTCAGCGTCTTCACCTGTAAAATGGAAGTAACAGCAGTATCCCCCTCACAGAGTAGTAGTGAGGACTAAAGAGATATATGTACAGACTTAATCCAGTGCCTGGTACTTGGTAAGTGCTCAATAAATGACTGTTACTATGAAGGAATTTAGATTTTCTCCTGTAGCAATGATTAACCTTTTTATGTCCTGAAGATCTTTGAGAATCTGACAAATGCTATGGATTTCCTTGCCAGAAAAAATACTACAAACAAATTTTTGCCTACAATCTCAGGTAATTTATGAACCTTCTCACCATTCCATGGATTTCTCCAAAGAGTTCAGAGCCACCCCACTAAGAACCCTTGCTCTAGAGTCAAAGGAGTAACTTACTAATTGTCATTCATAGCAGCAGCGACGACATGAAAGATATTTGAGATGAAAGAGAGTGGAGCATGGGGAGAGCCCAGAGGAGACTACGTGTCCTGCAACAGTCAAGTCAAACCGACTGGGGGTGGGAAGAAGCAGGCCCCACACAGAATTCCTTTGAGGTGCCAGCACAAGCTCGGCTTCTGAGAATGCAGTCAGTGTTTTCCTTCTGGACAAGGACAACATTGCAACAAACTGCCCTTCCTTTCCCTCAATGCCAAGTCTGAGGTTTAACCAAAGCAATAAAGTAAGGCCTTTGGGTCTGCATGTGTTCAGCCTTTTACTGCCCTCAGTCTTAACATTAAACTCTCCTATTTCCTTGATTCTTTTACTTTATGTCTATTTCTAAATATGTCTACTTGCTGTGAAATGACAAGAAACATAAAGAAAAAATGGGGAAGGTGAGAATGGATGCCAGTAGTAATAAAATGACAATAATAGCTCTTTGTGTTCAAAGTGCTTTTTAAATATTAACTTATTTAATCTCCTATTTGGTAGGGACTATTATCATTCCCATTTGACAAGTGAGAAAAACTGAGGGACTGAGATGTTAAGTAACCTGCCCAAGGTCACAGATCTCTTAACCACTCCCTTAATAGGACGTTGGGATTACTAGGAAACAGAGGTGTGAATGCGTGACTGACATCATAGGCTAAGTTTCAACTTCTCCCGCTCTATCTCTCTGACATGCCAACACCCCAATAGTAACCTGGGGTGGCTATGAAATCAGCTATTTATACCAGCAGCTGCAAGAGCCCTTATTCTATAACTATGTCCCAAGCAGTAACAACCTGATGTGCCATTAAGGACATCTCACAGGTTAGCACCTAGGAATAATGAAAGGATCAGTTGTCTGCAACCTCTTTCTTCTGGAAATGGGAGGAAGGGAAATTAGTTAAGGAAGCAATGAGATCTGGGGTTAGTTTTCTGTTGAAGGGAGGAAATGTGCCTTGGCGGTGTGGCTCAATGGTTAAAGCACCAGCCCAAGCACTAAAGGGTTGGAGGTTCAATTCCCTTTCAAGGGCTCATACCTGGGTTGGTAGCAGGTTCATTCCCTGCTGCAGTCAGGGTGCATGCAGGAGGCAACCAATTGATGTGTCTCTCTCACATCGATGTTTCTCTCTCCCTCTCTCTCTGAAAATTAATTGAAAAAATATCCCCAAGTGAGGATTAACCAAAAAGTAAATAAATAAATAAAAATAAAGGGACATGTAATTTAAGGCTCAGAAACACAATTAGCAACTCACTGGCAAAGAAACACTATATCTATATTCCAGGATTGAAGTCAAACCCAAATACATTTACTTTCTCTAAGACTTTTTCTTCTTAAATATATTTTTATTGATTTCAGAGGAGAAAGGAGAGGGAGAGAGAGATAGAAACATCAATGATGAGAGAGAATCATTGATCGGCTGCCTCCTGCACACCCCACCCCTGGGATTGAGCCTGTAATCCAGGCACGTGCCCAGACCAGGAATGGAACCATGACCTCCTGGGTCATAGGTCGACACTCAACCACTGAGCCACGCCAGCTGGACTCTAAGACTTCGTAATAGGGTAATGGGCATCCTAAAATGTCAACAAACAAACAATCCAAAACAACAACAAAATCCCTTTCAAAGTCTAATCTTGTACATCTACAGCACCCCTGGAAGGAAGTCCTTGTTTCTACTGAAACCTCAGAGATGAAGAGGCCACTCCTGACTTTCATAAATAAAAGACCCTCAAACATCTTAAAAGGAGGTTCTGAGGTTTCCCCCAGGATGATCATAAACCACACTCACTAAGAGTCCCCGCCGGAGAGTGTCATGCACATCTCCACGGAAAGGAGCAGGGAGGGCAAACAGGGCTGACTGGGGGAAGGCAGGCTGGACACAGAGCCCCTCTAAGGGGCTAGCACAAGCTCGGCTTCTGAGAGTGCCACCAGAGTTTTCCTTCCGGACAAAGAACTAGGACCCGCCGGTCAGTCTAACTTCGTCACTGAAACTCACTGTTCCATATGCCAGGCCCGAACCTGTCAGCTAGGAAGCAGCTCCTCATCACCGCGGGAAGCACACCCACAGAGCCCTTACCTGGAGACTGTGCCTCTGGACACTGAGCTGGGGGTTGCCTGCGAAATGGTCACAATGTCTTCATCCCCTCCGTCCTCATAAAAGCTCGCCAGGGCGATCTGAAACAGAGAGGTAGTTACTCGGGGTCCTTAAACAGGCCTTCATCTAACACACAACTCCTCTGAGTACAAAGGAGCACAGACACGAAGATACGGCCCACACTGACAACTAGGTCTGTACCCAAGGGTCACAGAAAACTAGACCAACTGTTACCTGAAACAAATTCCACCTACTCTGAGGGGGAAGGCAAGAAGGAAGGCTGGGATGGAGGCACTCCTCATCCTCATTTTTTTTAAAAACATGATCTAGTAAAAGCCGTGTACAATTACTGAGCACTTCATCCTCAAAGAACCCTATGTAATTTTAACTACTACCTCTCATTTTATCGTTAATACACAAGTCCTCAGAAATGAAGAGAACGGCCCAGGTCACACAACTGGTAAGGAGCAGAGCCAGGCTCCATCCCAGGCAGAGGGGTCAGGCTCTTGTTCCCGGCTCCTGTGTGACAGCCAGGAGCCAGGAGCCGTGCGGCCGGTCCAGGTGCTGCTTCTACTCTCTCTCTGAGGCTCGGTTCCCTACCCACCCCACCAAACCTGCGCAAGGGATGAGAGAGTCCTTTAATATCTACAGAGCCATGTCTTAGCTCTATTCGCAAGGAACACGGACGTCTTCTGGCCATTTGTGATTGTTTCTCTCATCGATTCAATGGGCAGGCGTTTACTAATCACTTACTCTGCACAAAGAAATAAAGAGCAGGGAGGGCTACAGAGATGAAAAAGACCCGGCTTCCGTCCTCAAGGTCACCGGCCTTAAAGGAGGCAGTGAGCCGCTGTGGGGCATAATCATCCCACTAGGAACTGTGTGCCCTCACGGGGCATAACGTGACTTGCCGGCTGCAGGCAGCGTGCCACTGCAGGGCCTAACAGGCCTGCAAGGAGCAAGCGTGCGGTCATGGGATACGAGTGACAGGCGCTGCGAGGCGCCCTCACTCAGGCGATGGCCTGGCCAGGCGAATCAGGCCCCAGGCGTGACACTGTTTCCCCTACAGTGAGGGGACTGGGGCTGGTGGCCTGCGGATAACACCGTGAGCTCCCAGGTGTTTCAGGCAGAGTCCGCACTTGGTGTTTCTGCCCCGCACGGGAGCTCTGCTCACACGGTCTGCAGAGGTGTGACGCCGTCCCTCTCTGGGGAAGCCATTTAAACGGCGGGGTCAACAGGCCCAGGACAAATCCCAAACTCACTACGTGTTGGCGGTGTGGCCCTGGCATAGTCGTTACCCTCCGAGCTTCCAGCTCCTCCCCTATACAACGAGGCCCGTCTTCTGGACCTCAGTCCTGCCAGGGTTAAATGAATCCTCACATGTGAAGCGCCGGCACACGCGGTGACGAAGCTGGGTTTGGGCATCAGACAGCACTGAGCTCTAACGCTCCCTCTCCCGCCTGCGAGGGAGGGAGGGAGGCCCTGAGCACGGGACCGGAGCGCCCTACACCTCAGCTGCAAAATGCAAGCTGGCGTGACCCAAGACACGGAAAAGCAGTGAGAACACCATCCGGTTCGTGGTCGGTGCTCAATACACATTAATCACCCTCTTCCCAAGATGTACGCCGGCCAGGAACATTCATGCAATTCTTTCTGCGATTTTTATGTGCCGGGCATCGTTCCAGATACGAGTGATTTAAACAGTTTCCAAAAAAACAAAACAACCCTGCGTGTGGCTCATCTTCATGTCTTAAGAGGTACTTATGAATATTGAATGCGTGCCGGGGAACTAGACAGTCACCTCTCCGAGACCTCCATTTGACAGGGAAGGTAACTAAGAAAAATGAATACAAGCCCACCCTGCGCCACCGCCCCGGGGCAGGTTCTCCCAGCAACGGGGTGGGAGGGGGCGTGGGCCAAATTCTCGGCCGGCTTCTCCCTCCTCCTGCGGTCGGGAATGGCCATCAACGACCCCTCGGCCCCGCGGTGGGGTCCCGGTGGGGTCCCTCGGCCCGGACTCCGGCCGAGAGTCGGCGCGGCCGCCACGCCCCCAGGGTCCCCCATCCACGCGGGCGGCTGCAGTGCCCGGGTCTCGCTGGCCCAGCGATCTGGTGAGGCAGGAGGGGGAACCGAGGCCAGGCAGGGCCGGGCCGGGCCGGGGCTGCCCCGCGGTTCCCCACGACCGAGCCGCGCTGGAACCGGCCGCAGGCCCCTGAGGCCTGTGTCGGGCCGCGGCCCGGAGGGATGACTGTGCGCTTCGGCCACCGCGGGCTGGACGTGCCAGGCGCCCGCGCCTCGCAGCCCCCGGCCTGCCCGACGCAGCCTGCCTCGCGGCGCTACCTGCAGATCCCAGCCGGCCGACTCCAGGAAGAAGCGAGCCCGGTCGTCCTCGGTACCCGTCACCGCCACGAACTCCCTCAGAGCCTCCTGCCTCTCCGCCATTTTCGCCCGGTGTGCTCCCCAAACTGCTCCGGTCGTCGCTGCACAGCCTCAGCCGCTCCCTCGCGTTCCGGCTGCGGGTGGGTCCGGCCCTGCCGAGCGTCGCCCGCCCCCGGGCCCCGCCTCACGCGGTGCCTCAGGAAAAGCCGTCCGTGCTGGAAACGCCACCGCTCCGCGCCCTCTGGCGGCCGTGGCGCAGAGCGGCAGCCCAGCGGCGCGGGTGGGAGCGCCACGGAGGAGAGGCGGGGCGGGTTTGAAACATTGGGGTAGATAGAATGCAGGATGGCTGAGGCAGTCAATTACTCATGCACTCATCCGGTCTTTGCATTAATGTATTCATTTGTTCATTCACTTGTTCAAATATTTACGGAGTGTTATCCAGGGCCCGATGCTCTTCCAGGGCTGGCGATCCGCAGCGAGCAAAGCAAAGTCCCTGCCCTCCCGTTGCTCACTCACACTCTAGGGAACAAAAGCAGACCTTGAACAGCAGGTCACACCTCTCTTCCAACCCTTCAGTGCCTCCTCATCTTCCCCGCGTGAGTCTCTAGGGGCCTGCCAGGCCCACGTGACAAGAGCCTGCCCCTCCACCGCTCCTCTTAGGCTTCTCTCTAGCTTCCTCTGCTCCAGGCAGTTACCCTTCTTGATGCTCCTCAATGCGCCAGGCATGCATTTGCATGAGTCTTTGCATTCGCTGCTCTGGCCAGGTACACCTTTCCCTCCTTGCTGGGCAAGGTGCTCCCTCACTTTCTTCAGGCCTCTGGCCCAAGGGCACCTTCTCAGACACAATCCTGTCTTTCGGGTCCTGAGCTTCTTTGCCCTCTTGCCTCTTGCCACCTGCCTGGATACGCTTCACTTTCTCATCGTACCTTGGCCAGATCCCGCTCATCCTTCTGGTCTCAGTTAGCTATCCTTTAGGCGTCAAGGAGGCCTATCTGTTTCCACATAGACAGTCAGGTGGGGGCCAGGGAGTCTCTCCCATTGGCCAAGGTGGCGCAGGGGGAGATTCTTACACTAAGAGGCCCAAAGCCAAAAAGATGAATGGATAGAGAGAAAAAACACACGAAACCTCATGGGCTTAAACAGAAAGGGGAAATGGGCGTTGAGACAGGAGAACACCATTCTCCCAGGTCACCTGACTAAACCTCTTCCCTTTTGCACCAGCACGTCTCATGATTTTGACTTTTGTAGGGAGCAGGCAGCCAAACCTGTGTTTTCCGTTACATGTCTACATCCCCAGGCTCCATCAGACAATCTGCTGTGCATGCCCATTAAGTGTCTGCCTTCCCCAAGGGCCACAATCCCGGTGGCAGCAGGGACCAGGGCTGTCTCCAGCATAATATGGCTTAAGAGCACCTGCCCTGGATTCACACAGCCTGGGGTTGAAACTCAGTTATTACTGCTTATATGACCTTGGGCAGACCTCTCTCTAAGCTTCAGTTTCCTATGTGTAAAGTGGAGCTCCCAACAGTACCTCCCTCAGAGGGACGGCCCCCTCAGTGGGACGTGCTAAGAGCAATGTTTGATACTTATTAAGCCCTCAGCAAACATTAATTGTCATTTTTTCTCCCCTGACCTGCACTCGCTGGCATTAAATAGCCCTAATGACTCTTGGCTGAATTCATGAAGAAGTAAATGAGTGAGACCTTTGTTAGGGGCAAAAATAGAATATTGGGGACTAGCTGTGGTTATGGGAAATATTAATTATGCTCTGTTAACCATGATTGCCTTGTTCTGGTTAAAGAAAGGGCATTCTAACTTGGCTGGAAGTTGTATGCCCTGGGACCTGGGAGTCAACCTTGGACCTGGGAGTCAATTTTGGAATGTGGGCCTCCTGCATGCCACCCACTTGGGATGGAGCCAGCAACCTGGGCATGTGCCCTTGATAGGAATAGAACCTGGGACCCTTCAGTCTGTAGGCCGACGCTCTATCCACTGAACCAAACTGGCCAGGGAAAAATCTCCTCTTCTTGAGAATGACTGCCCTCCATTATGCTATCCTACTGCAGGTGCTGTTTCCTTGGGGATTGAACTAGGTGTCGCTCAGAGCAAGAAAGAAGCTGTGTCTGTCATTGAGGTGGAAACTACTGGTTACAGCAAGCATGTCAAACTCGCAGCCCGCGGCCCACATGCGGCCCACAATGAATATTTTTGCGGCCCAGCCAATATAACGGTATGTAAGAAACACTTTAATAAAAATTTCATAACTTAATTTTTACAACATCCTGTTATACATAATTATTAATAACTACAACGTTCGCTAATGACTGATTACTATAACCGTGTTGCATTCATTTCCCTTAAGCGCCTTACACACAGACACACCATTTCTCTCCACTAATACTAGCAGTGAATATTTGAGCAGCCCATTGCCACATCATTAGTCCTGTAGTGACTTGTTTGGTGTATGCAACAGGAAATATTTTCGCTTTCGAAGAACAAGAAAAATAGGTTTATTTGCGTTACGCTCATTCATTTGTGCAGTTATTTAGTGTCTGGTAAGTTAATGTTCAAGAAAAAATATTAATTTTTAGTAAAATGTTCTATTATTTAATGTTAACGATGACTCATTTATTTCAGCCCTGTGTATTCAACATGTCTCTATTGAAATAAACTTATGTTTCTATGAAAATGGAAGCTTTTGTTTTTTTGCGGCCCACATCAACTTAAACCTTGTTTATTTGACCCGTGTTAGCCTCTGATTTTGACATGCTTGGGTTACAGTATCTACTGATATTTACCCTCTATTTCTCTAGTGAAATTTTTCAGCTGCGGATATTGCTGCCAGAATGAAGACTGTATTTCTCAGCCTTCCTTATAGCTAGGTGTGACCATGTGACACCTTCCAGCCAATTAGAGATGATGTGGGCAAATTCCTAGCTGTGCCCTTGCAGGGGAGTGCCATGCTCCCCTTCATTGCCTTTTCCCTGGTCTTGCAGCCTGGGAGGTGGACCTGGTAGCAACATGACCAAGGAATCCCTGGTCTCAGTACCGGGAAGTGGCTGTGTTGCCTGGTCTGCTTAGGCTCAGATATTACTAGAGAAACCAACTTTGTTCTGGTTTAAACCACTGTTATTTATGAGTTTCGTCAAACTTACCAACCCTATATTCCAACGATTGCAGCCACCCAAGCTAGCCACAGTGAGGAAGAAAAGAGGAGAGAAGGATACAAATGGAGGCAGTGTGGCTGGGTGAGAAATGCTGAGGGGTATCTTCTGGGAAGTCTCTGAGTTAGAGTTGAAGGTCGAGAAAATGTGGAGCGGGGAAGGAAGGGGGAGAGCCCTTCACAGGGACTGCAGCAGGAGCAAGAGCCTTGAAGGGAGACCTGGGCAAGGCCTTGAAGGACAAGGAGGGCCTGGACAGGCTGAGAAGAGTGAGGAAAGCACGTCCGAGGGGAGCCCAGTGCCAAGTGGGCTATTTCACCAGGTGAACTGAAACCAGGTGTGGGGATGCTGGAGTTTCTCGTGAGTCCTGGGAGACATCTGGAGGCTGGGATTGGAGGCAGAGAAATGGTTGGGGAGTCCTGGCCCCTCTCCGACTCAGAGCACCACTCTGGAGCTGACCCCTCATCCACGCCCCAGGCCCCAGGCCCCAGGCTAAGATGAGCACAGCTTTGCTGGGCCTGGGGTTTTGACATTTTCTTGCCCACCGTGTCTCCAGCAGGCAGCCAGGGCCAGCAGGAGTGCAGCCAAGGTCACTGCCTTCATTCCCAGGACCACAGCTGTGAGCACAGACAGGAGGCCTGGGGGACACAAAGGAGAGTTCAAGAAAGACCCTAGGTGAGTCCTCAGCAGCCCATACATCAGTGCTCCCTGTGGGCGAGGTTTGGGCTCAGCTGCTCTCTAATTTCGGGGGCCATATTCTTTCTATTACTGGAAGGGGAGATCCAAGACCTCCCTTCCCCTTGTCCCAGGCCCAGAAAGGGACACTATCGTACCTGTACCTTTAATCATCCTGATAGCATCCCTGACTTCTGACAAAACAGTAAGTCCTCACTTAACATCATCCATAGGTTCTGTGACTTTAAGCAAAACATATAATATTTGTAATGAAACCAACTTTACCACAGGCTAATTGATATAAACAAGAGTGAAGTTCCTATGGCATCTTATTCACGTTATAGCGAAATGATGGAAACTACGTCATCAAACTGCTATAATAGAAAACTGCTTTCATTTATTGGCTGATCGACTCCTCTGCCCCAGGTCCTGAGCTAAGCACCTCCTAATTGCCTAGTAGAATCCTCAAACTAATCTTGCAAGGTAGGATAGCAATGCCATTTGTATAGATGAGGAGACAGACGCAGAGTAGGGCAGTGATTTGCTCAGGACCACATGTGTCAAAGAAGTGGTAGGCCCCCAAGAATGGCAGGAACAGGGCTGAGCATCAGGGAGGGCACCCTGGCAACCTCTATGCCCAGTTCCCCCAGTCATCGAGCATCCCTGAGTACTAACAGGTGCCGTGAAAGACACAGTTCTGGGCATTCAGCACATGTGACTCATTGGGTCCACACACAACCCTGTGAGGTAGGCTCTCTGACCCCCAGGTCACAGAGCAGGACATCGGAGATTCAAGGAGTGAGGCAACCTGCCCACAGTCTCGCAGAGAGAAAGGGGCTCAATCCATAGCCATGTGCTTCAGCACAGTTATGCACAGTTTTACAGTGTAATCTTACAGGGAATCATGGGAGACCACTACCTCTCAGGGAAGACCGCCCGCTGAACAGCTAGCACTGACTGTGTCTCTGATGGAGCTTCAGCAAGGTGCTCTGGCTTCCCGGAACTCTCTTGGTGGCAGATGGGCCCTAGACGGGATGACTCTCTTCCCATGGCTAAGCCATCTGTGCCCCACCTTCGCCTGTGGGGCCCTGGTTAATTCCATTGCAGGTAGGAACACTCACTCACCTGACAGAGATCTCCTGGCTACATGTTGATTGATGACTTCTGCCTCTTGCGAAGAAGTGGGCTTTGCTGCAAGGGAGAGAGGTGGTCTCAAGTTCCACTTTTCTTTCTGTCCCACAACTTTCTGAGCCCTGTGCTTGGAGCTGGGGTCACCAAAATGAGCCTGCCAGTTTCTACCTGGGATGGGGGCTATATGTCAGACCTCGTACCTATAAGGACTAGTTAGGCCCGTGTGAGCATCTCTGGGGTTGAAACAATGTCTGATTTACTGCAGTACACCGCAGAGCAGTCGACAGGCGCGCACTAGATGTTTGTTGAACCATTAACTATACAAAATTCTATGGGTTCCAGAATGAGGAAAAGTGAACTCTGCCTGGTAAAAGGAGAAGGTTTCACAGAGGAGAGGCTATTGATGCTGAGCTTTGAGGGATGATTAGGAGTTTGACATAGAAAATGAGAAAACATTCCGGGCAGAGGGAACAGTTTATGTAAAGGCATGGAGACTGAGAAAAGCTGGCGTGTTTGGGACATGGTAAAAAGTTCCTTGTGGATAACCTCCCCCCTTTCCCTACCACCGCCTAGACCACCTGTCTTACCTTCCACCCTCAGCCTGGTGCCCTGTCCAGACAGGTATTGCCTGTTAAGTTTCCTCTGAAACTTTACACAGTAGTAGGTGCCTGCATACTCCGTAGAGACATCTTGCAAAAGAATGCTGAAATCGCTGCTGGAGGCCTGGACCGCAGTCACATTGGGTTGGGAGATGCCTTCAAAGTTGTAAATGGCTTCACGGCTCAGACCAGATCCCCGGAACCACCTGATGGGCCCGGAAGGACCATCTCCAAGCACTGCGCAGTTCAGGACGACAGTGTCTCCAGGCGTTGCCAACACCAGCTCCTGGGGCTGGATGATCCGGAGGTTTGGCTCTAGGTCGCCAGCTCCTGAAGCCAAAGACAGACCCTTGTTTTATTCTCTCTCTTCTTCCATTGTCCACTCATTTCCGCCCTTACATCTTCCCTCCCTTCCGCTTCCCTGACTTCTTCACTCAGCCACTCCCTCCTATGTCTCCTCATTACTCAGCAGCTGAAGAGAGGAAGGGAGAGGGAGAGAGAGAGAAACAACGATGTAAGAGGGAAGCATTGGTGGGTTTCCTTCTGCACATGCTCTGACAAGGGATTAAACTCCAAACCTGGGCATATGCCCTGACTAGGAATCCATCCAGCAACCTTTCAGTGTAAGGGACGATGCTCCAACCCACTGAGCCACACCAGCCAGGGCAATAAAGAAGCTCTCAGACCGATTTGTATTGATGCTAGAACAGGGGAAAGTGGAGCTCAGAAAGACACACAAATGTCCTACCCCGAAGAAGGTCTCAGTCTGGCTGTGGAGATGGTCCAGGAAATCCCCCTGAGTTTGGAAACCCAGCGACTGCAGGACCAAGAGAAGGCACCAGCCACAGCTTGGAAGGAGTCAGAGAAGTCTTCCTGAAATGCTTGCATGAAGTGAAAATGGACTGCCCTCCTCCCCTCTACCCCCCCGCCCCCATGACCACACTCACAGATTCTCTCCCTGTCAGCAGTTTACAGAGTGGTTTCACAACATCTGTTCCTTACCCAAATGACTCTTGAAGCAGGAATTATGTTGTCTATTTTTCAAGTTAGGCAAGTGAAGTACATAGAGCTGAAGTGACTGATTTAAAAACACACTTCTATTGAATGACACACCCAGGATTTGGGTATCCAGGTCATCACTGGTGAACTTAGAGATAAAATGACTGATTCCTTGGGGAGTGAGTAAATGAAATGATCAGCCCCAGTTCTTAACTCCCCTCTGGAACATCCACACTCCTGCCATAGCCTCATGATGGTAGGGTACACTTTCTTGTCAGTTGAATTTGAGCTGAGTCATGTGACTTGCTTTAACCAATGGGCTGTTAGCAGTAGAAGCTTGAAATGTACTGGGAGTGTTAGGACTTGACTTCCTGTTCTCCTGCCATCTCCATGAGAAAATGCACTCTGGCTCTTCTGGAATGAGACATATGGAATAGAACCACCCCAGCTGCCTATACTAAATGTGTGAGTGAGATATACTAATTGTTACGTGCCACTGAGATTTTCTGTATACAGCATGATTGTGGATACAAGTGACTGATGTAGAAAAACAGATCAGAGAAGAATGCTTTAACCTGCAGGGCCTGATACTCACCCTTCACAAGCACTGAGGTGCCTTCATCCAGCTGCATTTCTGAGGGCTCACTCAAGCCATCAAACCTCACACAGTGGTAGGTTCCTTCCTGCTCCTTGGTGACATTATGAATATAGATGGAATAGTCGCAACTAAGTGGCTCCCACGTCTGCTGGGTCAGAGGTGTCACCCCAGGGAAGAAGCCATGTTTGAAATTATAAATTTCCTGCTGGTCCTGCTTGCTCACCTTGATCCATTTAATCATGGCATCAATGCAGGAGCCGATCACTGTACACCTCAGTAGCAGTGTCTCACCTTCTGCCACCAGCATGGGACCCTCAGGTTGCAGCACCTGCCACTCATTCCCTTTGCTCCTCTCAGAGACTCCTACAATAGACAAAGAAAGGCCTTGAGCTGCACAGGAAAGACTTGGAGACCTGAGAGGCAAGCTTAATGGAAACTAGTCATTAGCTGACCAAGAACAATTGCTCAGGACACTCTAGGGGTTGTTGGAGGAGGAAGTGAAAGAGGAGATGAGGCAACCGGCTGGAGAGAACAGAGATAGTGAATGGAGAACTTACAAATAATAGATGGCACTTGAGTACTCACCATGGCCAGGCACTGCATGTATTATTGCATTTATTCCTCCCGGCACTCCCTTGAGGTGGGCAGCATCATCCCCATTTTAGAACAAAAACAGTGAGTACCCAGAAAGGTTAGGTAACTTCCTCAGGTTCACCGTTTATGGGCTGAATGGTGCTCCTACCCCCACAATTCATATGTTGAAGTCCTAACCCATGTACCTCAGAACATGACTGCATTTGGTCATAAAGTCTGTAAATAGATGAGTAAGTTAAAATGAGGTCACATGGGTGGGTCTTAATCAACATGACTGGTGTCCTTATAAGAACAGTAGATTAGGACACACGAGTGCACGTGCGCATACACACACACACACACACACACACACACACACACAGGGAAAACCACATGAAGACACGGGAAGAAGACAGCCATCTACAACCAAGAAAACAGGCCTCAGGGTAAATCAACCCTGTAGACATCTTCATCTTAGACTTCTAGCCTGTAGAATTATATAAACAAAAAATTCCTGTTATTTAAGCCAGCAGCCTGTGGTACTTTGTTAAGACATCCCTAGCAAACTAATTCACCACCCCCAAAAATGTGACAGAGCCTCAATCCAAACACTTAAAGCCTGTTTCTAGAGCCCCTGCTCTTAACCCTCAAATGGGGCACACAGAGCTTAAGTGCTGTGGTGCTCATTGTAAGTACCCCCCTGCCTCCTGTGACTCCTTCAGTGCTTGTTGATGCACTGTGAAGTGAGTCTATCTGGGGGGTAGGTTGAACTTTGAGGTTGGCCTCAGACTAAGTTCAGAGAAAGAGGGTGGAGGCCACCGATGGAAGTTCTACACCCAGGTTATGAACATCATAGGTACCAGCACTCTATGAGAAGGGTGCTATTTTACTACCTCTGTGGTTTTTTCTTAACTTAAAAAATACTTTTATTGGTTTTAGAGAGAGAGGAAGGGAAGAGAGATATATACAGAAATATGGATGCCCCTCCTGCATGCTCCGCACTGAGGATCGAGCCTGAAACCCAGGTATGTGCCCTGCCCAGGAATTAAACTCTATGACCTCCTGGTTCATGGGTTGATGCTCAACCACTGAACCACACTGGATGGGCTATTATGTCTATTTTTGAGACGAGAAAACTAATGTCAGAGAGTTGAAGAAACCTGAGGTGAACCATGCATTCAGTAGGTATCATGGCCAGGATTGGAGTGCAGATCAGGTGACTTAGTGTTCTGCTCTACACAAGGTCATCAGCTTTGTGCCCTTGGTTTGTTCCCATCAGGCCCTGGGAATAACTCAGTCTCACTCTAAGACATAAGCTTGCAGTATATCACGGTGTTTCTCAGTTGCAAATGAGGTGAGGTAGGGCAGTGAAGCAAACATCTCCTTCTAAGAGGATGTGGGGAAGGGTTGTAGAATTCTAAATTTTTTTTCTGCCTGCCTTCTGCTAGATGTGTGCTATTAGTCACAGTTGTGACCAAGTGACACCCACTATTTAACCCTAGGGATGCCTTTTGTCCTTGGTGTCCTTAGTTTCAAGAAGTTCAGCAACACCCACCCCAAACACCATTATCTGAACTAGTCAGATCTGTTCTCTCCAATCTTTTCTGGTGGGCCTTTCTTTGGCCCAGGTAGTTTCCTCACATGTATGCACAGAACAGTGACCATCCCTCAGCACAGGACTGAGAATTGTGCCTGTTCCCACCAGCCAGACTGGAAGACCTCATGATCCACAAGGCAATGGGTAGACTACACAGGACAGAGTTCTTTACTCAGAGAGATGTGCTCCTGTCCCACTTAACAAATCTGAAAACAAGGCCAAATTTATAAAAACTAGTAACATTCTAATGTGAGGTTTATAGTGCTTATTTAAGTAAAGAAAAGAATAGAATAAAAGAAGAGATGGAAGAAATGTTAGTATACTATTGTAAGGTTCCTATACTATAGTCATGCATCACATAATGACGGTTTCATCAACAATGGACCACATGTACTACAGTGGACCCATCAGCTCCTCTACAATCTTCCTAGTGACATTGTAGCCATGGTAAGGTCATAGAGCACCATATTCCTCATGTGTTTGTGGTGATGATGGTGTAAACAAACCTACTGTGCTGCCAATTTTATAAAACTACTAGAGGCCCGGTGCACAAAAATTTGTGCACTCGGGAGTGAGGGGGGTCCCTCAGCCCGGCCTGTGCCCTCTCGCAGTCTGGGACCCCTCGGGGGAAAACAACCTGCTGGCTTAGGCCTGCTCCCGGGTGGCAGAGGGCAGGCCCAATCCCTAGGTGCAGCCCCTGGTCGGGCTCAGAGCAGGGCTGATTGGGGAGTTGGGGGGCCGCCTCTGTCATGCACAGAGCAGGGCGGATCGGGAGGTTGTGATGCCACCCTCAGTCACGCTCAGGGTAGGGCCGATTGGGGGGTTGGGGCACTGCCCCCTGTCACTCACAGAGCAGGGCCCATCACGGGGGTTGGGGCTCCGTAACCTGTCACGCACAGAGCAGGGTCAATCAGGGGGTTGGGGAGCTCCCCCCTGTCACGCACAGAGCAGGGCCCACCAGGGGCTTGGGGAGCTCCCCCCTGTCACTCACAGAGTAGGGCCGATAGGGGAGTTGGGGCACTGCCCCCTGTCACACACAGAGCAGGGTGGATCAGGGGGTTGGGGCGCCGCACCCTGTCACACTCAGGGCAGGACCGATGGGGAGGTTATGGCTCTACCCCGTCACACACAGAGCAGGGCCCGTGTGGGGGGGGGAACTGGGGCCCCGCCCTCTATCACCCACAGAGCAGGGCCGATCAGGGGGTTGGGGCGCTGCACCCTGTCACGCACAGAGCCGCAGGGCAATCAGGGGGTTTGGGGCACTGCCCCCTGTCATGCTGATCCCGGTGCCAGGAGGCCTCGCGGCTCTGCTGATCCCGGTACTGGGAGGCATATTACCCTTTTACTGTATAGGATAGAGGCCTGGTGCACAGGTGGGGGCTGGCTGGTTTGCCCTGAAGGGTGTCCTGGATCAGGGTGGGGGTCCCCAGTGGGGTGCCTGGCCAGCCTGGGTGAGGGACTGATGGCTGTTTGCAGCTGGTCACACCCCCTTCAGGGTGGGGGTCCCCACTGGGGTGCCTGGCCAGTCTGGGTGAGGGGCTGAGGGCTGTTTTCAGGCTGGCGGGTGACTGAAGCTCCCAACCCCTCCTTTTTTTCTTTTTCTTTTTATTCTGGGCCAGCTTTAGCTCTGAGGCTTGGCTCCAGCTCTGAGATCCCGGCTGGCTGAAAGCAGGTTTCTGGGGTTTTGTTTAGCTTCTATATTTGTAACAATGTTTCAAACTGCAAGCTCAGAGGCCGGCAAGGCAGGCGGGGAACACTGGCTTCCTCCGTCACTGAAGCAAGCAAGCCTCATGTTCGCTTCAAGCTGCCTGGCTGCCGGCCACCATCTTGGCTGGCAGTTAATTTGCATATCGCCCTGATTAGCCAATGGGAAGGGTAGCGGAGGTACGGCTAATTACCATGTTTCTCTTTTATTAGATAGGATAATATCTGTACTAATAAAAGGGTAATGTGCTAATTAGACCGGACATCTTCCGGATGTCCTTCTGGACAAAGCCACAGTAGTGGGGGCTAAGGCAGAGGCGGTTGGGGAGATCAGGCCGGCAGGGGAGAGCCGTTAGGGGTGATCAGGCTAGCAGGTGAGGGCAGTTAGGGGTAATCAGGCCGGCAGGGGAGCGCAGGCAGGCGAGTGTTTAGGAACCAGCGGTCCTGGATTGCAAGGGGGAGGTCCGACTGCCGGTTTAGGCCCGATCCCACAGGGGGGTTGGGGCGCCACCCTCTATCACCCACAGAGCAGGGCCGATCAGGGGGTTGGGGCGCCCCCTGTGGGATCGGGCCTAAACCGGCAGTCGGACATCCCCTGAGGGGTTCTGGATTGGAGAGGGTGCAGGCCAGGCTGAGGGTCCTCCACTCCCCCTGTGCACAAATTTTGTGCATCCCGGGCTTTTATTTATATACACACACACACACACACACACACACACACACACACAGAGTACATAATACTTGATGATAGTAAATGACTATGTTACTGGTTTACATATTTACTATGCTATACTTTTAATCATTTTAGAGTGTACTTTTTCTACTTTAAAATAGAAGTATTTAGTACGCTCAAAAACAGAATGCCATGTTATGCTGGCAGCAGCCTCACACATCTCATGTCTATTGAATCTCTTGATTGCATCCGTTTCTCTTGGGCATGACTTAATCTCATGTTGCTTTGTTCATCATGACCCCTAAATGTAGACACAATGACAAATTCACCTAATGATGCCTTTCTCAGTCCCTGTCCTAAATAATGCATGACTATATATGTGAAATGGTATGATAAAAGGTAGATGGTGATAAATTAAAGGTGTATAATTAAACTCTAAAGCAACCACTAAACTACAAAATAAAGAGTTATAGCTAACAGCCAATAAAGGAGATAAAATAGCATTATAAAAATATTTAATTACCAATAATAGGTAGAAGGAAAAGGGAACAAAGAACAGAGAGGAGGGTAATATATTTAAATTGGTCAATGTAAATGGTCTAAATATGTTAAGTACAGGTTAGAGCTTGTCATATTAGATGAGTGGTTCTCAACCTGTGGGTCACGACCCCTTTGGCGGTTGAACGACCCTTTCACAGGGGTCGCCTAAGACCATCCTGCATATCAGATATTTACATTATGATTCATAACAGTAGCAACATTACAGTTATGAAGTAGCAACGAAAATAATTTTATGGTTGGGTCACAACATGAGGAACTGTATTTAAAGGGCCAGAAGGTTGAGAACCACTGGATTAGATAAAAAAATAAGACCCAACTATCTGTTGCTTATAAAAAATGCACTATAGGGAAGCGGAAGTCGCTCCTGGAGGCTCGTGTCTGGGAGCCGGTGGCCGCTGGCGGCCGCTGGCCTGGCGCTGCCTGCGGCGGAGGAAGGCGGGAGGCCGGAGCCAGACTAAGCTTTGAATAAAGGAAATTCATCCTGAAATGCTACTAGAAGTTTGAAAATACAGTTGAAGTATAAACACTGCCTTTATAATTATTAAAAGTGTGTATACCCAGGGTGTCTCCCCAAAAATGTATACACACTTTAACAGCTGATGACTCACTATAGATTCAATACAATTCCTATTAAAATACCAACGGCATATTTCACAGATCTAGAACAAACGCTCCAAAAATTTATATGGAAACAATAAAAGACCTTGGATAGCCACAGCAGTCTTGAGAAAGAAGAACAAAGTTGGAGGAATCACAATACCAGATACCAAGTTATATTACAAAGCCACTGTACTCAAAACAGCCTGGTACTGGCACAAGAACAGGCATATAGACTAATGGAACAGAACAGAGAATCCAGAAATCGATCCAAGCCATTCAACTCAATATTTGACAACGGAGGCAAGAGCATACAATGGAGTAAGGACAGTCTCTTCAATAAATGGTGTTGGGAAATTGGACAGGTACATTGATCATAAGGAAAATGCTTTTAGCTTTTTCCAGTTGAGTATCATTGTTAGCTGTGGGCTTGTCACATATGCTTTTTATCATGTTGAGGTAAGTCCCCGCTATTTCAGCTTTGCTGAGAGTTTTTATCATAAACGGATGTTGGATTAAAAAAATGTTTTTATTAGTTTTGGAGGGGGGAAGGGAGAGAGATGGAAACATCAATGATAAGAGAGAATCATGGATCAGCTCCCTACTGGGAATCAAGTCTGCAACCTGGGCATGTGTCCTGACCGGGAATTGACCTGTGACCTTCTGGTTCATGGGTTGACAACCAACTACTGAGCAAAACCAGCCAGATTGATGCTAGATTTTGTTGAATGCTTTTTCTGCATCTATTGATATGATCACATGATTTTCACCCATCATTTTTAAATGTGGTGTATCATGTTATTTGATTTGTGGATATTGAACTAATCTCAGGAATAAATCTCAGGAATAAATCCCCCCCCCAAAAAAATGCACTATAAATATTAAAGGTGTAAATAGATTAAAAGGAAAATGATAGAAACATATACAGCATACTAGCACCAATCAAAAGAAAGCTGGAGTGGTTATTTTAATATCAGATAAAGTAGACTTCAGAGCAAACACTATCTCCAGAAATAAAGGGTATTATCTCATAATGATAAAGGAGTAAATTAATCAAGAAGCCATATAAATCCCAAACATTTATGTACCTAATAACAGAACTTCAAAGTATATAAAGCAAAAGCCAGTAATAGAATAGCAGGGAGAAACTGACAAATGCACAAAGTGTGAGATTTCAACATCCATTCTTTCTATAGTTGATGGAGGGCTCAGCACAATGCAAATGCTAAACATATTGATAACCTTAAGGGTGAGCTGAGGTTTTTTTCCCAGGGTTGCATCTCTGACGCCTAAGAATGAGCTCCACGGACCAGAAGATTTAACTAAGCAAAAGTGTGGAAAATTTATTACAAGCAGATTCAGACTCCCCGCATGGGGAGGAAGGGGGGCCAATAATGGGCTGCCCCCTTGAAGCCTTGTAGTCTAGAGGTATATATTTGCTACACACCTGCTCTATATCTACCCGTGTAGCCACCTGATTGATTCCCTTAATTGTTCTTGCCCAGCAACGGATCTGAACTTTCCCAGTTCCTATGTGTCAGTTCACCTTATTGTTGCAGACCCTCCTTAGTTTCACCTGCCCCCGCTCTGAGTCCAAAACCATTTTGTTATCCTGCTTGGTTGGTTTCTGTGATTAGGCTGCTCAAACTGCCTTGTCTGCCCGGCCTATGTTCCACTTGCCTTTGTTTTCCACTGGACCCCTGCCCTGTCTGCCCGTGTTTCAAGCTAACTTCTCTCAATATTAGCTATCATTATTCAAAGCCCCACACCTGAGTCCCACCAGGACCCACCTGGGGGTTACCATCTGGGGGACCGAAGGTGTGATGAACAGAATCTAGATCTCAATAGGGCCTGGGGACAAGGGTCCAGATGGGCAAGAGATGGAATGAGCCTGTTGAGAACCAAGCATTTTGTCTGGTGGATCACAGTGTTCTGGGCTGAGAGGCTGAACAATACCCAGGAGCCTCAAGGCCCTGCAGCTAGATGATCTTAGAGGAGATATGAGTCTGATAATAATAGCCAACAGTTATCCAATCTTTACATTGTGCCAAGTACAGTTGACCCTTGAACAACATGGGTTTGAACTACGTGGGTCCACTTCAACATAGATTTTTTTTCAGTGAATACATACAGCACTATAAGTGTGTTTTCTTTATGATTTTCTTTAAAAAATTATTTTAAAAAATATTTTTATTGATTTCAGAGAGGAAGAGAGAGGGAGAGAGAGATCGAAACATCATTGATGAGAGAAAATCATTGATCGGCTGCCTCCTGCATGGCCCACACTGGGGATCGAGCCCACAACCCAGGCATGTGCCCTGAGTGGGACTCGAACCTAGTTCAATTGACCTCCTGGTTCATAGGTTGATGCTCAACCCCTAAGCCACACCAGCCAGGATCTTTATGATTTTTTAATAACATTTTTTTTTTTAAATATATTTTATTGATTTTTCACAGAGAGGAAGGGAGAGAGATAGAGAGTTAGAAACATCGATGAGAGAGAAACATCGATCAGCTGCCTCCTGCACATCTCCCACTGGGGATGTGCCCGCAACCAAGGTACATGCCCTTGACCGGAATCGAACCTGGGACCTTTCAGTCCGCAGGCCGACGCTCTATCCACTGAGCCAAACCGGCTTCGGCAATTTTTTAATAACATTTAAAAAATTTAGCTTACTTTATTCTAAGTATACAGAGTATAGTACATATAACACAAAATACGTGTTCATGGACTGTTTATAAGGAAGGCTTCTGATCAACAGTAGACTACTATTAGTTGAGTTTTTGGAGAATCAAAAGTTATACATGGATTTTAATTGCCTGGGGAGTCAGAACCCCCAAACCCCTGCATTGTTCAAGGGTCAACTGTATTTATAGGTATAACCTCATTGAAACCTCCTAACAAAGTCATGAAGTGGGTCTTATGATTAGCCTCACTTCACAGAGAGGGAAACCTGAGGCTCAGAGAGAAGTTAATTCAAGCAATCAGTGGCGAGATTTGAGCCTAGCTTTGTCTCGGGCTGGGCCAGTGCTGGCTCATGGCTGTTCCATGTGAATAGTCACATAGGCCCTATGCTTGAGTTAATGTTCTGTTGTTGCTGCCTTAAATTATTATTATTATTTTTTAAAGAATGGAATATTTTGCCCTAGCCGGTTTGGCTCAATGGATAGAGCTTGTGGACTGAAGGGTCCCGGGTTTGATTCCGGTCAAGGTCACATCCCCAGTGTGGGGCGTGCAGGAGGGAGCCGATTAATGACTCTCTCATCATTGATGTTTCTATCTCTCCCTCTCCCTTCCTCTCTGAAATCAATCAAAGAATGGAATGTTTTTGTTGTTGTTGTTAACAACAATTGCAATTGACCCAGGTCTCCCAATACTGGGGGACCCTGAGGATATTTTTCAGTTGATTTTTATTTTTTTTAGAGAGAGTAGAAGAGAGAGGGAAAGACAAAGAAAAATATCCATGTGAGAGAAACACATCAATTGGTTGCCTCCTGCATGCACTCCCAACCAGGGCCAGGGCTGGGGATGAGCCTGTAACCAAGGTACGTGCCCTTGACTGGAATCAAACCCGGGACCTTTTGGTCTGCAGGCCAACCCTCTATCCACTGAGCCAAACCATCTAGGAGCTTTAAAATTCTTAATACTTCTTGAACAAAGGACTTGCATTTTCATTTTGCACTGAAGGGCAAGGGCCCTGCCAATAACACCAATGGCCCTGGGCTGCGCCTCACCATTTTTATGTTTAATGCTCCCAGCATTTCTAGATAAAGGTCCCACTAGTGGTCCTGCTTCGTGGAAGAGGTGACATGGGCACACAAGTGTCCGAACCAGAACCCACCTGGCATGAGCCCAGAGCCTGGGAGCTTAACTTCCCTGTGCTGCCCAAGAAGTTCTGCTTCTTTGGACACTGGGTCTATGCTCTGCTGGGGTCAGGAAATTCCTCAACCTACTCTGTCTTGGTGGGTTCTTGCCCCACCAGGCATGCCAGGGCAGCTGATGCCCCTCTCGGGGACCAGCCAGGGGTAAATTCTGTTCTGTTCCAGATTCCACTCACCTGAGAGGACAACGAGCAGCACCAGTTGCCAGGAGGGAGGTGAGTCGACCAAGTGGGGAGGGGTGGGCATGATGAGGGGCACACGGTTCCTCTTGTAGTCCCTGAGACCGGCTGTGTCTTTGCTCTCAGGTGCCTGTTGGAGTCTGAAGTGGGGCTGTGGGCAAGGCTATGTCTGCTTCTCGTGGTGAAGGCTACTTGGGGAAGTGTTTTGAACACAGCAAAATAAGGCTGCTGATGCAAGAGGGAGGAGCCTGGTGGACTGGGTTCCGGCTTTTGTGTCTGGGCAGTGGTTCCTATAATTAGCCTGTCAAAACTTTAATGATCCCTTGCCACACACTCTGTCCTCAGCACCTTGGGAGGGAGATGAGCATGGCTGTCAAAGTGTGTGCTGTTTTCGGAGGTTGTAAAGCTTGCGAGATCCGGCCTGCAGAAGACATGGGATCTCATTGTCCTCCCAGCAATTCAACCTTTCCCTGAAGGCCCTCAATAAAATAGATTGTTCTTAAAAAAAAAATAAAAAATAAAAAATGGTGTGTTTAAGTCAGCCAGACTTTGGATCAAGTACTGGGTTTGCTTCTTCCTGGCTGTGTGAGCTTTCAAACTCACTTGCCATCTCTGAGCCTTTGTTTCTGAGCCAAGAGTGGAAATGCCAGGTTATTGGGTATGTGAATGTTCAATGTAAAATTTTCCAAAGTAATTGTGCCAATTTATATGCCCACCAGTAGTGTAGGAAAGAGCCATTGTTTCCTTATTTTTGCTATTTGAATAGGGACAAAATAGCATCTCAGTGTGGTTTTATTTGGCTTTTGCTAATTACTAATGAGATTGGATGTCTCTTCATTTCTTTTTTGGCCATAATTGTTTTTCTTTAATCCCATTTTAATGATGGGGCTGTAAAGGTTTTGTGGCAGAGCTTGGGTATCCACAATGGAGTTTCCTAGGAGCCAGGAAGGGTCCTTTCAGAATTGCAGGTACGAGTTTCATCTGGGAGGGAGCCTGTCCTGTCTCTGCTGGATTTCCTGTTCTGGGTCAGAATGGCCACAGAAACTTCTTTCCCGGGGAGGGCATGAGAACCCACCTGTCATTGCTGCCCTTACCATCCAGGTTTTTACCTCCTCTGGGGGCTGCCGGCAACAGGAAGGGACAGCCAGCACTGACCATGTCTCAGAAGGCTGATGAGGCAGGAGAAGCTGGGGTAGCAGCTACAGGCATCATGGCAAGTGTCCCTCGTGGATTGGTCCTCCTGAATAAGACAAAAGGGGACTTGGGTCCCTGATCAGCTGAGTGAAAACATTGTCCAACTGGCTCTGGAGAGTCCGGATGGGGCGAGACGGAAGGAGATGGTGTATCTAAGCTTCCCTGACCAGGCAAAGGAGCACTGGGTGCCACTTGAGGCACCTATGGAGGTGGTAAAACTGGCAGCACTTCCTGGGGGGGCGGGGGGGTTCCTGTAGAACAGGGGGCTGAGCTTCCTTCCGAGGGACCTGCTTCTGTTCTCCTGCCACTAAAACCTTACTCTGTCCTTTCTTACACACGCAGAGCCGGATCCAAGGAGACCTGTGTCGAGCTATTTCTAGCCATTGATCTATGCAAGGAAACTGATCAAGATGACCAGGGTCACCTGTGATGACCTCAAAGAGGGCCCTGACAGTTGGGACATCTAGGGTTCCCTCTGAGGGCCAACCCACACCATAGGCTGGCCATTCTGATTCACAGGATGTTCTTAACTTCCAGGGAATTAGTTTCACACTATAATCCCTGGCTAATTCTTTCTGTAAAACCCAATATTCTATAATACTATAACTAATAAATATTAGTTATAATTGTATTTGACAAAGGCTCCTATGTACCTTCAGTATAAAATTTTCTTTCATGAAAGAGAAAACAAACATTTGAGGCATTTCAGAGCCTATTGGGATGATCTAAAGCCAACTACAGGTCAAGAGAAAGTTTCTTAAAATTTAAACCCTTGACGGACTGTCAAACTTGATTTTACCAAAAGATAACGTATCAATGTGTGTTAGACACAAACATTCTTATAACTTTCAGAAATTACCAGCTTTAGAAACTACCTTCTTTCTCCTTCAAACTGCATTTCTATGCCTATGCTTTCTCTATTGCACCAAAGCCATATTTTCCTTAACCTTAATTTTTCGGTGACATGTAAGTAATTAACGTTCCTTAGATTAGCAATACATTTATATTTTAAGAGAGATTTCAAATAAAATGCAAGACTTACTTATTAATGATTCAACGTCATCCTCGATTCTCCAGAGAAGGTAAACTCAGATCAATTAATGTTTCAGTATCATTTAACCCAGCAGTGCTCCAAAGCCTTTAAGTTATCAAAGACTTTGGGAAATTATGTATAGGCCTGTATTTATAAACCAGGGAAGAGTAAACTAAAGTCCCTAAAAGATTACATTACAGATATACAGACAGAAATCTCACTAGCTTAACTGGGTTTCCCAAAGTGGGACTTGCCCCATCTTCAAACAAATTAAACAAACAACAAAAAGACATACAATTTCAACAGAAAACTCCGTCTGTCTGGCCACTCTCTCGGTGGAGACAAACTCTTAGCTTTGGAGAATCCGTATAAATCCTGGAACCGGATCACCTCAGCAGGGAGGGGCCGGATTGCCTCAGTCCCCCAGGTGAGGATGCCTCTCTTAGCCATATGGGAATCGCCATTCACGCTCTCATTCACACACAGTCAGTCCGAGTTTGACTTCCTCCCCAGGAAGCCCCAAAACAGAGGCAGATCAACTCCTAAGAGCTCCAGTCAGTCCGCCCAGCAAACAGAGGCAGATAACTGCCTAGCGGGTGATCAGCCAAACTCTTCTGTCCCGAAAGACAGGCCTGAACTCGGCCAAGTGCGGCGGGGGACGAGGGGAGGCGGGGGGAGGGAGGGGTGAGAGATGTAACCGCGGGTCCGGAAAGCGGTTTCCTGCCTCAGTGAGTCCCCCAGAGCGCAGAGTCGCAGCAGTCTCTGCAGGCCCCACGAGTCCAGGAACCGGCGAATGTGCCAGTGACGCCTTCCCAGGGTCTCAGAGCCTGAACGAGTGCCCCAGTGCCCGGGAGTCCGCTCTCATCAGCGGTGGCCCCAAAACCCAGCGCAGCTGACGCTTCGTGGGTCAGGGAACCAAGAATGTTGTTACAAATGGCCCAAGAGAATGGTAGCCGGCACCCAGAGAAATCTGGAAAGTAAAATCTTTATTACCCAGAGGAATTAGGAAAGCAAAACCTTTATTTTGCAGCGCTGCTAGTTCAGGGGACCTTGATCCAAAGCCTGAACTGACAATGTGGGGAGGCTTTGATATATACACTGAGTGGCCAGATTATTATGCCCACTTGACGTTTGTAGGCAAATTAGCGGTACACTGCATCATATGGGACATGGAAGCCGAAGGCCTGTTCCAACACCTTTGCTGTCTGCAGTTACCAAGATAAAATGTCTCCAATTCGCACAGGAACACAAGGATTGGGCAGTGGAGCATTGGAAAAAAGTCATGTGGTCCGATGAATCACGTTTCCAGTTGCATCATGCAGATGGCAGAGTGAGAATTTGGTGGAAATAGCATGAAAGCATGCACCCCACATGCATGAGTACAACCCTTCAAGCTGGTGGGGCAGTGTTATGGTTTGGGGCATGTTTTCCTGGCATGATTTGGGCCTTTTAATTCGTGTGGAACAACGTCTGAATAGCACAACATACCTAAGTATCGTTGCTGATCAAGTGCATCCTATCATGTTGATGGCGTATCCCAATGGAGATGGCTTCTTCCAACAAGACAATGCGCCATGCCACGGTGCTCGTATTGTGCAGGAGTGGTTTCAAGAACATGAGGGAGACTTTACCTTGCTTAGGTGGCCCCCACAATCACCATATCTCAATCCAATTGAGCATTTGTGGGACGAAGTTAAAAGAGCCATCAGGCAGCTGGTTCCACAGCCATCAAATCTCACAGAACTGGACAGTGCTATTCATCAGGCATGGTGTCAGATTCCTTGCATCACCTTTCAACATCTTGTGGAGTCAGTGCCAAGAAAAGTCGCCGCAGTATTGAAGGCAAAAAGTGGCTCAACAAAGTACTGATGGGGTGGTCATAATAATCTGGCCACTCAGTGTGTGTGTGTGTGTGTATATATATGTGTGTGTGTATATGTGTGTATATATATATATATATATATATATATATATATATATATCTCCCACGTTCAAAGGCTGTTAAATCACATTGTTTACCCATATCTTCAGAAAAAAGTCACTTCTGTCGTGGTAAACAACCTGCTTCCCTATTTATAATGGTCTGGCCCTCTAGCAACTTCAGCGCGAAATTATAACTAATTTGCCTAAAAACGTCAGGTGGTCATAATAATCTGGCCATTCAGTGTGGGGATATATATATATATATATATATATATATATATATATATATATATCTTGTGGCGGGCCCCTTGGTGTGGGCTTTGCAGCTCCGCCCAAGTCGGTTAGAATGGGGCTTGTAAAATTAGTTTAATAGATACTGAATTAGGCTGTAAGCCCCCAAAGTTGCCCCCCTATTTTCCTTCTCAGTATTCTATACAGAAAAGTCAATGACAAATGAATTACGATATCACAAAAGTCTACCTCAACAAAGGTATTTGAGTTTATCATTCCCCTCAAGTGCCGAATATGTAAAGGACAATACAATTTATATCTATTTTGTAAAAGTTGTTGCTGTATTTAAAAAACAACACCACCATGGATGGTGACCTAAATTATCACATGCTTCATCCCTCCAGGTCTTGTCCTTATAAAATTCAAGGGTGAGTGGGGAATAGGAGTGGGAATGGTGTTCTGATAGATGTCGGTCTGTGAAGGCTTGTTTCACAAAGGTAGAATTTTGAGTTTTACATTTAAATTTGCATCTCCTGCACAGTCTCCTTTCCTTGCTTCATGAAATTGCTTACTTGGATGGTTCCTCCATCCAATTACTATTTCACCACAACTCGATATGGAAGTCCAGGTTCCCAGAACCCAGAGCTGGAGTTCAGCCGCATCTCAGCCAAGGTGCGCAGGCATGTCCACCACTTCACACTAGCAGTTTTGAGTAAATCCATTGTCAGCCTGTTAAAGACAATTTAACTTTCTTCCTTTCTTTTTTGACAATTTAACTTTCAACATAAGTGGCCCACAGGACTCTCAATTTTACATTACACTGTTTGAAATATGTACTTAAAATGGGCAGGAAATAGCCCTGCTTCACAGGGCACAAAAGAAATTGAGCAAGTTGAGAAATCAGAAAATACAAACTCAGACCCAAGACTGGAGTCCGGGCCCAGCCAAACCCGCCCCGCGCCCGCCCCTACGGTCCCCCCCACCCCCCCGCGCGGAGCTGACCCTGGCCATCATTCTGGGGGCCTGGCTCCACCCGCCTGCCATCAGGCGACTCTGGGCCCAGTTCCACCACATTCTTTCCCGACCCTGTCACACTCTTCCACCCGCTGAACCACTTTTGCTGAGGCCAAGACAGTTCATCGACCCCCATCCCAACGCCCCGCCCCGGACGCAGCCGGCCCTCCCCTCTCCTGGGTGCGCCTTTCCGGGTAGGACGGCTCCGCCCCACCCGCTCCTGCTCACGTCCCATCCGGGCCCGCCCCACCCTCTCGGGTCTCCACCGCCCTGGCCGCGTGTCTTGCACACCCGGGAGCGGCTAAGGCAGAGGGAAGGTAAATATGCGGATTTTTTGGTCTTTCTCCTTTAAACCCGAGCATCTCTACCCAAGGTCCTGTACAGATGAATCCTGGGGCCGCGACGGACTTTGAAATCCCAAACCCGCGTCTCCAAGGGCGGTAAGTCTCGCGTCCCCGTGAAAGGTTGGAATCCTTAGGGCTTTGCTTTTGAAACGGAATTTTTGGATTGGAACACGTGGTGTTCCCCTGGACTGGAACCCTGATTCTCTGTCCGCGGGAATTGAAGAGCGAATCCACGGACAGGAAGTGGTATAGCAAAGATGGAGATTTATTGAAGAACAAGTACACTCTCCCACATGGGGAGGGGGAAAGGGTCCCACTGAGTTCCTTTTCCCTATGGCTTATAAAGGCTGCAGATCCTGGTGCCTTGATATCCCCTCTGATTGGTCACTATTCCCTTAGACTGGTTACTATAGTAACTCCTAGGCTCAGAGGTCCAACCTCACGTGGGACATGTGAAGTTCTTCTCCACCCCCCCCCCATTGTTTTTCTGTTCCCTTTGGGCTTTCTTTTTCTCCTTCTGGATGAAGGGCTTCCTTCTCTCCATTTTGTAAATATGGAAGTGTTGCTGTTCCCAGCTCCCTCATTCTATGGAAATATGCCTGTTGCAGCTTTTCAGCTTCCCTATTCTATGGAAATATACCTTCTGCTGCTCTGCAGCCCTGTGCTTCCTCTGTAAGGTCCCAAGACCCCCGGTGAGTCCGACGGAGGGGGCGACGACCCCAAGTCAAACGCAGAGACCGAAGCTTGATGCAAAAGCAAGAGGTTCTTTATTACAAGCGCAGCGCAGGGGCTCTCAGGCAGACAGACAGCAACACAAGGGAAGTGCTGGCTGACTGGAGCCCTGAGCAATGGCAAAGCATGAGCTTATAAAGGCAAAAACCACACGCAGGTGGCCTGGGGTACAGGAATTTGGGTTAACAGTTAACTCATAACTCATCTCCTGCAAGGACAGGCCTGTGTTTGTAGTTGACTCATTTCCTGAGGGGCAGAGTGGTCTGTCTTTACACAACCCGATCCCAGGAGGAGATAAGATAGCTATGCTATGACCAGACCAGAGCACCAGAGCTTACGGGAAAGGTCAGTTAAAACACAGGAGGAGGGGGGAGGGTTTCTCTTTGATCTTACATTAACCAGGGCTTACTGGAAAAGTTAGTTAAGAGGGGGAAGGGAGGTCTCAGCGGCCTTACACCTCCATGGTCCCCTTAATTTCTAAAATTTCCTAAAACCTGTTTTTTTCACCTCCCCACCCCCCAAAATTCCTGTTTCACTTTTGCGTTGAGGTTTCCCTTAATTTCTGGTTACATTCTTTCTGCATCCGCCCTGCCTCTACACTTTCCTTTTTGGGGCCACTGCACACGGCCTGCCTCGGATGGTTTTCTTGCCTAAAACCTCCCACTGGAGAGCCTTCCCACCCCAGGCCATTTAAAGTCCTGGGAGATGGACTCAAACCCTCTGCGCCCTCCTTCAGCCCCGGACTCTCTAGGCCATTTAAGGCCTGGATTCCTCCCTGGCCTGGGATTCTGCAGACTCCCCCGCAACTCTCCATTTAGTATCTAAAAGGCCAGATGCCAAGGAAGGGCACACATTTCCGTGAGACGGGATTTAGGCTAGAAAAGCACTGGGTGTCCCAGTGTTACCCGTCAGGGTCTAGTCGTGTGTGGGTTCTTTTCACAACCTGAGTCCAGGTGGCTTTGAGAGTAGCTGGGGACAGTAAAATGAAATAAGGCCTTAGGATAAAAGAGGGAACCTAAGCCCAGCTGCTTTGTATTTGGGGGTCAGTTGGAGAAAGTGAACATGAATGGCATATGAGATTGCTCATACAGTGACAGTATTCTAGACTGTGCTCCTTCAGTTCATTTTCAAACAAAGCTGTGATGGAAACACTTTTCTGCTCCTGGTCCCTTAGGGTTTGAGGCACCTGTGGACAGGGCATCACAGAGTATGTTGTCCTGTTATACATGTGTCCCTGTAAGACCCCCACAGGGAGACCCTTACTCTGTCCCACGGATCGACGGCAACCCCAATCAACCGCAGGAGGCGTCACTTGATGCAAACACCAAGAGGCTTTATTCCAGCGCGCTGGGGCTCAACTGGTAACTCACGCAGGAGCAGAGGAGTCGAGCCCCGAGCAGAAAGTCTTACAAGTATATATAGGCAAAAACCACACATTGGGAGGGGTTACACACGGAAGAGGGAAGAGGGGAACAAAGGAATTCCAAGGGGGAACTGGGCTTGTTAATAACAGGTTTCATGACAGGGCTTAAGCTCAGTCAACAGTCCCATCTGGTAATCTCATATCCTGTTTTTCTTAACTGTCAGAGCACTGTTTGCTGTTTGCTCTGCTTGCTCTTTGCTAGGGGCTGTTTCCTGGGACAGCTTTAAGGGCTTTGTTCCCATCACTGGCGGGGGACCTTGGGGAGTTGAGATAAAACAGGCAGCTTTTAAACACTTTTATTCTTTCATCCCATGGGAGGGGACTGGGTAAAGAACTGGGGACAGGGTAGTTGGGGAAGGATACTGAGGGCAACCCTGTTGCCACCACATGGGTTTCTTCTCCCCTGGTGCATCTGCACAGTATCCAAGGATCTGGCCATGCCCACTCCAGGACAACCCTACCTCTATGTCATGTATGTTTCCTTCCCACGTCCCGCGTGGGTCAGGGTTCAGGATCTGAAAGAGGAGCCGCGCACAAATGAAAGAGAAAAGACACGAGATAATTTGAAATATTGGGGAGCCAGGTGGGCAAGTCCAACTCAAGGAGAAGGACTTCCACCGATGCTCAGGCCGCTCCAACCTTTTATTTTGTCTGGGGTAGCCCTAGGGTAAGGAGGTTTGTCTGGGGTAGCCCTAGGGTAAGGTGGTTTGAATGACATGGATTAGCTCATTGGTCTACACTAGTATCTAAGGAATTCAGTGAACTAAGGTGGGGATGATGCTTCAGCTACCATTATCTAGATTAACTGGGTGGTGTCTAAATTAACTGGGTGGTGCACAATCCTGACCTTTTCTAGGACTTTCAAAGGTTACTAGCTTTTGGGGGTCTCTGTCTATACTCAGCTAGTGAAGACAGTAAATGGTTTCCTGCACCTCTAGGAATCCACCTTGGGAGTCTGCGCTCTAGATGTTCCTGTCCCAACTCCTCACACTACTCAGATTTCAGATGGGTTGGGTCATTTGGATTCAAAACAAGGCTAATATTTATCAGAAGAGTTATCTGCCCCGGTGCATTTATGAGAGTTGAGAGCAGGCTTTGGCCCAGGGGAGGTAACAGGGTTCTCTTTTGGGTTTGGGAGGAACAGAAGTGCAGCCCACATTCTCATTGCTGGGTTGGAAATTGTGCACATCTGTGGGCTCGGAGAGCAAGGGAAGACAGGAGAGAAAAACAGTTTGGTCTTCATGTAACATCTCATTGTTTCTTGATTTCAGAGAGAAAGGGAGCGGGAGAGATAGAAACATCAATGATGAGAGAGAATCATTCATCGCTGCCTCCTGCACGCTCCCTACTGGGGATCGAGCCTGCAACCCAGGCATGTGCCTTTGGCCAGAAACGAATCTGGGACCCTTCAGTCCGCAGACCAACGCTCTATCCACTGATCCAAACCTGCTAGGTCTCATTGTTTCTTATTCTCTCCTGTGTCAAAGGGTAGGGGAGTGTGAAATTTTTCATCATTCAAGTCCTTCTGCCTGTGAGTGTGGTGGAAGCACGGCATATCCTCCAGATGCAGGTGTGATTGGTCAACATAAAGTCGCCTGAGAAAACAACCCAGAGCAGGAGGAGGAAGAGGACAATATGGCTGCTTCTCAGGTAAGCGCTCTGTCTTGGCTCAGTTCTGTGTCTGCTTTTCCTTCTAAAGTTCACGGATGTAGGTGGTACAGACCTGCAGACCTTTGCTTCTCTATTTCTGATGATCCTGCCAGAGGGAGTTTGCTTTCAACTACTAACTTTTTTTCCTTATAGCTATCCAAGTTTCCTCTTTTTTAAAAATCATCACCATAGGATATATTCTCCACCCCCCCCACCCCCCGCCACACACACACACACACACACACACACACACACTGATTTCTAGAGAGTGGAAGGGAATAAGGAGGGAGAGAGAGAGAGAGAGACATCTTCTTGAAAGAAACATGTGGACTGGTTGCCTCCCACATGCACCCCTACTGGTGTCAGGGAACCTGCCACCGAGGTAAGTGCCCTCAACCTGGACTCTAACCTGCATCCTTTCTGTCTGGGGCAGATGCTGTAATCACGGAGAATGGCAGGGCCCAAGTTCCCTCTTTAAAATGTTATGTCATTTGGGGTTTTGGGTTCTCCAAGATAGAATTCAAGAGGAGCTACCAGAGAAATTTCTGGGCATATTTTCTTAGGCTTTTGCTAAAGGATAAGGGAGATGACACAGAAGAAAGGAAGGGCCTCTGAGCTGACTCAGGGGCTGGCGCTGCTTGGCGGCCATAACAAGCTTGGGACACATCGGAGGGTGGTTGGAAAAGGCCTGCTGGTGGTTACTTGCTTTTCCAACAGGGTTACCTGGTAGCGCCTGCGCTGTGGGGGAGAGATGGCAGCGTAGTCACTAGAGCCACCCCAGGAAGTTCAGGTAGCAGTCAAGCCTTCATCAACTGCTCAAGTGCATCAGCAGTTTCAACATCTGCAAGGAAGCAGGCCTTTAGGAGGGAGACAAAGTCAGCTACCTCTGCGTTTTGTCCACAGCTTTCTGTCTGCTGTGTCCATCCAGTTCCCCCATAGGAATCTCACCAAAAGTTAATGACCATTGTGTGGGAGGAAGATACTTTGTTCTACCTTCAAGGTTCTCTCAGCTGGCCTAATCAGAAAGAGGGGATATGTATGGGAGCTGCACATGTTGGGGGCCAGATGTAAGCTGGCAAGGTCCTTGCACCTGTAGGGGCTTAGCAAGGCTGGGACCCTTACCCACACAGTTTTCCCAGACTTGTTTGGATGGCGATTATCAGTAGAATGGGAGTAGAATGAGAACAGCCTTTCATAGCTTGCCAAGAAGTCTATAACTATTTACTGAGATATGCTGTACTGAGAACTTGTCCTTCTGCTGTATCTCTCCCTTAGAGATTAAGAGGAACAAAGAATACATTCCTCTTGACAGACCTCCGATTCAGTGTGTTATGTATAAATAGGATTGTATAGCTAATAAACTCGCTTTAGTTCATCAAGAGAACTGGGGTCCTCCCGACCCCGCTTTCCTGTCTTTCTTTCTTTTCTCAATTCCCACCTCCCTGCCTCAGCCCGGCTCAACCCTGTCAGGCTGGCCCTGACATGCACACACATGACAGAGTCAGAGACCCACATGCAAGAGAGGCTCAGAGACTGAAAGGGAAATTTAGCATATGAGACATTCTGAGCCTGGGATGAGGTAATGCACTTTGAAACTTCAGAAGATCTTTGACTGGAGATCACATGTTCAGGAGGTATTAGTTTGCCTACCACCTAGATAGGTAAAAAGTCATTATTGGTTTTGACACTTATCATGGGCCAGGCTTCGAATTTAAATTCTTCTAGGTAGTTCAGGGGGAGAGCAGAAGCTTCTCTTGAGCCCATAGGGTCTTGGTGCCTTCAGCTCAACATAATCTTCCTACTGTTGAAGCACATCTTAGGGTGCCTTGTTTTGAACCCCTACCTTCAACTCTTGGAAACATTTTTGTGTGTGTGACAGACCAACATGGGAAGGCATTGATATCCAAGATCCCTATAGAGATGAGATGTGAAGTGTAGATGGGAGATGGAGGTTTTAGATTTCGTATGGCTGCAACATCTGCTTTGTAGAACAGGATTGAGACACTGCACATTTAACCAGGCCCTGATTAGATCAGATAGGTCTGAAAGAAAAATCGTTGCAAGAGACTTGCTCACTACGTTGATAAGAAGGAATTACTTTTTATTTTTATTTATTTATTTATTTTTTAAAATATATTTTATTGATTTTTTACAGAGAGGAAGGGAGAGGGATAGAGAGTTAGAAACATCGATGAGAGAGAAACATCGACCAGCCGCCTCCTGCACACCCCCTACTAGGGATGTGCCCGCAACCGAGGTACATGCCCTTGACCGGAATCGAACCTGGGACCTTTCAGTCCGCAGGCCGATGCTCTATCCACTGAGCCAAACCGGTTTGGCATACTTTTTAAAAAATATATATATTTTTATTGATTTGAGAGAGGAAGGGAGAGGGAGAGAGAGAGAGAAACAATGGTGAGAGAGAATCATTGATAGGCTGTCTCCTGCACACCCCCCACACTGGGGATTCCTAACCGGGAATTGAACTGTGACCTAATAGTTCATAGGTCAACAATCAACCACCGAGCCACACCGGCCGGACAGAAAGAAATACTCTTTAAGTCAGTGGTTTCCAAACTTTTTTTGGCCGTGCCCCACCTAAGCATCTCTAAAATCCTGATACCCCTCCTGTGACATATAATTCTTATTATTCAAAAAGTGAACTTCTATTCTTGTGGAGGAACCCTAAAAGGCCATTAACTTGGTCTAAACAAGCTTCCAAAGAACATGGCATCCATGAAAGCGAAAAGTAAAAGAATGAAAGGACAATCGAAATACTGAGGAAGAAATCACTAAGGAATTGTTAAAAATACTAATACTATGGAGTGATATGAAAAAAATAGCAAATAAAGTTTCAAAACATAATAGATAACTGAAATGTATAAATATGTCACAATATATATTCATATACTCTATGTGAAGTCCCTAGAACCATAAGAAATGCAAAAAATTCATTGTTAACTCATTCTTGAATTTCCCCTCTTAAAGTCAAATTGCCCCACATTGGGACCACTGCTTTAAATGCACTGTTCGATTTACAGAGTCTGGGAGGTATGTGGATTGAAATCTGCATAAGCCAGCGGTTCTCAACTGGTGGGTCACGACCCTTTTCGGGGTTGAACGACCCTTGCACAGGGGTCGCCTAAGACCATCGGAAAACACATATATAATTACATATTGTTTTTGTGATTAATCAGTATGCTTTAATTATGTTCAATTTGAAACAATGAAATTGGGGGTCACCACAACATGAGAAACTGTATTAAAGGGTCGCGGCATTAGGAAGGTTGAGAACCACTGGTATAAGCTGATGTTAGTGATGTTGTGTCCTTTCCCGTGCTTCAGTCCCCTGATGTGATTTCCTTTGCATCTGATTTTCACTTGGTGCAGGTGTTCTCTGCCAAATTCCTGAGCTACAGAGTTAAATTTTTAAAAAAATGTATGTTTATTGATTTCAGAGAGGAAGGGAGAAGGAGAGAGAGAAACATCAATGATGAGAGAGAATCATGGATCTGCTGCCTCTTGCACCCCCTCTACTGGGGATCGAGCCTGCAACCCAGGCATTGAACCTGGGACCCTTCAGTCCACAGGCCGACGCTCTATCCACTGAACCTAACCAGCTTATAAACTTCAGGGTAATTTGTTGACATGAAAATTTTATTTTGTATTGCATTCAGTGTGTACATTATTTCCATTTGTATGTCTTGGTTTTTGCAGAAAATGCTAACGTTGAGCTCTTCTTTCTTACCTTCTTGTTTCTATTCTTTTTTTAAAAAAATATATTTTATTGATTTTTTACAGAGAGGAAGAGAGAGAGAGAGAGTCAGAAACATCGATGAGAGAGAAACATCGATCAGCTGCCTCCTGCACATCCCCCACTGGGAAAGTGCCCGCAACCCAGGTACATGCCCCTGACCGGGATTGAACCCAGGACCTTTCAGTCCGCAGGCCGACGCTCTATCCACCGAGCCAAACCGGTTTCGGCTGTTTCTATTCTTTACAATTACAACAGCTGTGTACATTCATGAGAGTTGTGTCTGTGTGCTGGTCTTTGTTCTTTTTGACAAATTCCAGGTAAAGTTTGGAATAACACCCAGGCTCTACCAAATGCTGGATGTTTTACAAAATTTTCTCATAAAAAAGAAACAATCGCCATGGCTCAGTTGGTTGAGTGGTGACCCTGAGAGGTCACTGCTTCAGTTCCCAGTCAGGGCACATGCCCGGGTTGCCGGTTCAATCCTTGGTAGGGGGCATGCATGAGTCAGCTCATCAATGTTTCTCTCATCAATGTTTTATCTCTCCACCTTTCACTCTCTCTCTAATCAACAAAAACTTATTTTTTGAAAAAGGAAGAATAATATTGTTCTTTGATTACTTTTGAGATTGATTAATATGTATAAAACTGTTAGAACAATGTATTAAAGAAGGACTGCGGCTGTTAGGTTTACTAATCAGTGAGATTTGTAAATTCCATAAAACTATTCAAAGTCTTGTATATGAATTGTTTCCTGTGTTTTCTTCTGTGCTATGTAAAGTGCAGCACATGAACCAGACACATTGGCATCGATAGTCATACGTGAGTTAGATAAACATGTGGAAACTCAGGCCCCACCCCAGAAATCCTTAAAATTTTAGAAGTACTTTATAGTTGTCACTCAGAATGACTTCTCCACCTAAAAAATATATACTGGTACACTTGATCCTCTATGATTCAAACGAAGCACTCAAAAATGAATGCCTGTGTTGATGCCTTTATTTATTATTGTTATTTTTTAAAACATACTTTTGTGGCCGAAACCGGTTTGGCTCAGTGGATAGAGCATCGGCCTGCAGACTGAAGGGTCCCAGGTTTGATTCCGGTCAAGGGCATGTACCTGGGTTGCGGGCATATCCCCGGTGGGAGATGTGCAGGAGGCAGCTGATCGATGTTTCTCTCTCATCGATGTTTCTGGCTCTCTATCTTTCTCCCTTCCTCTCTGTAGAAAATCAATAAAATATATTTAAAAAAAAAAAACACAAAAAACCCAAAAAAACCCACATATTTTTGTGGATTTCAGAGAGGAAGGGAAAGGGAGACAGAGATAGAGACATCAATGCTGAGTAAGAATCATTGATTGGCTGCCTCCTGCATGCCCCACCCTGGGAATCAAGCCTGCTACCCGGGCATGTGCCCTGACCGGGAATTGAACCATGACCTTGTGGTTCATAGATTGATGCTCACCACTGAGCCACGATGGCCCGGCTATTTTTAAAATTTGTCTTCTAGAAAAGTAAAGCTTCAACTGTGGTTTTGTGGGTCATATGACATCCTTCTTTCTCAAAATACATTAGAGAATATTAGTGTCAAAGTGGTGTTATTGGATAACTCAGGGTACTTCCCTGGCTCAAAATCAGATCAGCACTAGCCGGTTTGGTTCAGGGGATAGAGCTCTGGACTGTAGACTGAAGGCTTTCCGGTTTGATTCCAGTCAAGGGCACATACCTTGGTTGCAGGATTGCTCCCAGGCCCTGGGTCGGCCGCATGCTGGAGACAATCAATCCATGTGTTTCTCTCTCTTTGTCTCTCCCTCTCCCTTCCACTCTCTAAAAATCAATGGGAAAATATTCTCTGTTGAGGATTAACAAAAACCAAAAACAACAGTTCAATCGAACTGTTTTCTTTTAAAAAAAAACCACATATTTTATTGATTTTTTTACAGAGAGGAAGGGAGAGGGATAGAGAGTTAGAAACATCGATGAGAGAGAAACATCGATCAGCCGCCTCCTGAACACCCCCCACTGGGTGTGCACGCAACCCAGGCACATGCCCTTGACCAGGATCGAACCCGGGACCCTTGAGTCCGCAGGCCGACGCTCCATCCACTGAGCCACACCGGTCAGGGCTCGAACTTTTTTCTTATTGGGTGACATTATGACCTCTGCCCATGGCCACTTGAGTAATGTTTGCTTTTTCTTTCAATTTCAGGGGCAGTTGACCTTCAGCGATGTGGCCATAGAATTCTCTCAGGAGGAGTGGGCGTGCCTGGACCCAGCTCAGCGGGAACTGTACAGGGACGTGATGTTGCAGAACTACAGGAACCTGGTGTCCCTGGGTGAGGACCACGTCCTTCCAGAATTTCTCCTCCACCCGCAGGGCGTTGTTGTCTTCGTTAGCACAGTGTCCGCTTGTAGCTTCTGCTTTTATGATAGAGTTTCAGATCCGTGTTATTAAGGAAAGCAACTGGGGTTTTGCTGGTGCACTTGCAAGTGGAAATCAGAATCTGAAAACTTTAAATGTAGTCACTAGTATGGTAAAGGTGACATCAGAAAATAATATTTTGGGGAAACTTTTTCTAGACTATTCTGATATTCTACAATGTCCTGTCTTCTCCCTTGAGCTCAGTATATATTTGAAATTGGAGAATCTCCTTTAAAATTCCTGTTCCTTTTTCTCATAAACAGGTCTTGCTGTGTCTAAGCCAGACCTGGTCACCTTTTTGGAACACAAGAAGGAGCCCTGGGAATTGAAGAGAAAAAGAACAGTATCCATCCACCCAGGTAGGTGGGAATGAAGGAAGCAGATGACCCAGATGAGAGGCCAAGGTTGACAGAGGAAGCCAGACCTTAAACGATGGTTTGGGAAGCTTGGCTTCAATGGAAATGATTTTTGAGAGGGTATATTTGGGTGAGGCATATTTCTTTTTAATCTTTTATGTCTCATGTAATTAATTTGTGAGGGAAGCGGTTGAGATACTAGAATTTAGTTCTCACAAACCAGGAACACTAGAGATAGGTGTCCAAGTTGTCTTATTTCTCCTTCTGTTTGATCAGGTCTGTTGCTGATAGTTCTATTGTATATTTAAATTCAGGTACTGGGTCCTTCAGCTCCCAATATATGTTTTTTTTTCTTACACTTTCTGTCGCATTTTAATTTTTCCCATGCATAGTTTTGATGATAATATTTAGATTTTTATGTTTTCTATATTTTGCAATATTTCCCCTTTATGTTGGTTTATTTGAGATCTTTTTTTTTTTAAATATATTTTATTGATTTTTTACAGAGAGGAAGGGAGAGAGATAGAGAGCTGGAAACATCGATGAGAGAGAAACATCGATCAGCTGCCTCCTGCACATCTCCTACTGGGGATGTACCCGCAACCCAGGTATATGCCCTTGACCTGAATCGAACCTGGGACCCCTCAGTCCGCAGGCCGATGCTCTATCCACTGAGCCAAACCAGTTTCGGCATATTTGAGATCTTTGTCAGGTAATTAACAGATGTTAGTTAACTTAGGGCCAGTATATGGAGATTTATTTTGTTCCTCGGGCTGGACTGTTTTTCTGTTTCTTCGTAAGCCTTGTGATCTTTTGCTGCTACTTAAGGTCATTAGAAGCAGCACATTCTTTATGAAATTGCTTTGTACAAGACAAGGCAAATAATTACCTGTGGTAGATTGTTTTTGTTCGGTTGTGTTTACTATTTTATTTTATTTTTATTTATTTTTAAATATATTTTATTGATTTTTTTACAGAGAGGAAGGGAGAGGGATAGAGAGTTAGAAACATCGATGAGAGAGGAACACTGATCAGCTGCCTCCTGCACACTCCCCACTGGGGATGTGCCCGCAACCAAGGCACACGCCCCTGATCGGAATCGAACCCGGGACCCTTGAGTCTGCAGGCTGACGCTCTATCTGCTGAGCCAAACCGGTCAGGAATGTGTTTACTATTTTAAATATATTTTTATTTATTTCAGAGAGGAAGGGAGAGAGAGAGAGAGATAGAAACATCATGATGAGAGAGAATCATGATGAGCTGCCTTCTACATGCTGCCCCAGGGAATCAAACCTGATCTCCTGGTTCATAGGTCAAAGCTCAACCACTGAGCCATGCCCGCCTGTCAGCTGTGGTAGATTTTTTTGCCTGTATATCCCATATTTTACTTTTTTAATTTAAATTCTTTATTGTTTAAAGTACTACAGATGTCTCCTTTCTGCCCCCCCACTGTGCTAGATTTTTAATGGCCTGTCAAACCTATTCTGGAAAGTGTAATTGGAGTGTGTGTGTGTGTGTGTGTGTGTGTGTGTGTGTGTGTTTGTGTTTCATTCATTTTCTATTTTTCAATTATAATTGCAAATACAATATTATATTAGTTTCATGTGGACACTGCAATGAATAGACATTATATCGTTTTTGGCCTGGGGCTACTTAGCAAGTGGTATGGGGCACACTTGGGCCAGCTGATGCTTATTTGACATATTGTAGTAAAGACTGAAGCTCAAGCCAATCAGGCTGTTTGTATGGAATAGCCAGTGGAAATAGCTTGGGTCGCCCCACAAGCTGATGGGGCAGGTAGTCAGCAAATCTTCAGGGTGGGGTGAAAAGTCTGAGACAGGTAGATGGAGACTCAGCTATGGCCCCTATCTGATAGCCATTTGCGGGGAAAGTTTCAGAAAAGCAACAATGGCTTCTATCAGAGCTTATGTCTGGGAGAAAGCTCCTCCTCCTGCTCTCTCCCTTATGCAAGACATTTCAGTTCCTCCCTGTATGTCTCTCATGCCGAGCTGCATCCATAGCACTCAGAAGGCATGAGTCTGAGTAAGCCTGAGCACGAGCCCTTTAAGAGGAACTGCCTGGGTTTCCATCCACTCTCTGACTCACTCAGCCACAATCACTGCTAGTTTTTACAGCCGTAGTAATGGTCACATCTCTGCTCTGCTTTGGAACCCTGGGCTGGTGGCCTGGGACCGTTCACTCCTCAAACATGACTTCTGCAGCAGAAATATATCTCATGATTTTTATCAACATGGGACCAACCCATTCTGTGACTTTGCCCCGGTCCCAATCTCAATGAAGGTTCTTCTTTATATCCTTAGTTTTAAAACTTAATTCAGCCAGGTCTCTGGCATTTCTGAATTATGGTTTAGTTGTATATTTTATGTGGTTGTGGGAGGATGCCAGTGCCGGAATTACCTACACTGCCATCTTTTTTTTTCTTTTTATCTTTATTTTTGAAAGTATTACATAGGTTCTCCGTTTTCCCCCATTAACCTCTTCCAGCCCACTCCCATCCTCCCCCACAAGCCCTCACCACCCCATTGTCTGTGCCCACAGGTTATGCATATATACATATAAGTTCATTGGTTGATCTCTTCCTAGCCACCCTCCCCTGCCTTCCCTCTGGGGTTCAAAAGTCTGTTTATGCTTCTGTGACTCTGGGTCTATTTTTGATAATCAGTTTATTTGGTTCATTAGATTCCACATATGAGTGAACTCATGTGGTACTTAACTTTCTGTGACTGGATTATTTCACTCAGCCTAATACTCTTCAGGTTCAACCATGCTGTTGCAAATGGTAAGAGTTCTTTCTTTTTTATTACCTCTTGGTATTCCATTGTATAAATGTACCATAGTTTTTTATCCACTCATCTGTTGATGGGCACTTAGGCTGTTTCTAAGTCTTAGCTATTGTAAATTGCACTGCTATCAGTATAAGAGTGCATATGTTCTTTCTGATGAGTGTTTCAGGTTTCTTAGGATATGATATATTCCTAGAAGTGGAATGACTGGGTCAAATGAGAGTTCCATTTTTAATTTTGTGAGGAAACTCACTGCATACTGTTTTCCACAATGGCTGCACCAGTCTGCATTCCTACCAGCAGTGTACTAGGGTTCCTTTTTCTCCACACCCTCACCAACACTTGTCATTGATTGATTTGTTGATGATAGCCATTCTGACTGGTATGAGGTGATATGCCATTGTTGTTTTGACATGCATTTCTCGGATGATTCATGACTTTGAGCATTTTTTCATGTCTCTCGGCTTTCTGTATGTCCTCTTGTGCCAGTATCAGGCTGTTTTGAGTACAATGGCTTCATAGTATAACTTGATATCTGGTATTGTGATTCCTCCTACTTTTTTCTTCTTTCTCAAGATTGCTGCAGCACTTCAGGGTCTTTTTGGTTCCATTTAATTTTTGGAGTGTTGGTTTTAGATCTGTGGAATATGCCCTTGGTATTCTAATAGGAATTGCATTGAATCTCTGTAGATTGTTTGGGTAGTATTGGTATTTTAATGATGTTTATTCTACCAATCGATGAACATGGTATATATTCTTCACTTTTTTATATCTTCCTCTACCTCTTTTTTCAATGTCCTGTAGTTGCCGAAACCGGTTTGGCTCAGTGGATAGAGCGTCGGCCTGCGGACTGAAAGGTCCCAGGTTCGATTCCGGTCAAGGGCATGTACCTGGGTTGCGGGCACATCCCCGGTGGGGGATGTGCAGGAGGCGGCTGGTCGATGTTTCTCTCTCATCGATGTTTCTGACTCTCTATCTCTCTCCCTTCCTCTCTGTGAAAAATCAATAAAATATATTTAAAAAAAAAAAAAAATGTCCTGTAGTTTTTCAAGTATAGGTCTTTTACCTCCTTGGTTAAGTTTATTCCTAAGTATCTTAATTTTTTTGTTGCAATGGTAAATGGGATTGTTATTTTAGTTTCTCTTTCTGAGAGTTCACTATTATTAAAATGAAATAGATTTTTGCATGTTAAATTTGTATCCTGCTATGTTTTTGAATTAAGTTATTAAATTTAGTAGTTTTTTGATGGACTCTTTAGGGTTTTCTATGTACAGTATCATGTCAACTGTGAATAATGAGAGTTTTACTTCCTCCTCTCCAGTTTGGGTGCCTTTTATTTCTTCTTGTCTGACCACTATGGCCAGGACTTCCAGAACTATGTTGAACAAGACTAGTAAAAGAGGGCATCCCTGTCTTCTTAAGGGAAGTGCTTTTATTTTTTGCCCATTGAGTATGATATTGGCTGTCGGTTTGTCATATATGGCCTTTATTATTTGGAGGTATGTTCCCTCCCTTCCCAATTTGCTGAGTTTTTATCAGAAAAGGGTGGTGGATTTTGTCCAATGCTTTTTCTGCATCGATTGATATGATCATGTGATTTTTGTCTTGCAATCAGTTCATGTGCTATATCTCATTTATTGATTTCCAAATATTGTACCAGCCTGGCATCCCTGGAATAAATCCCACTTGGTCATGATGAATGATCTTTTTAATGTATTGCTGGATCCGGGTTGCTAAAATTTTGTTGAGGATTTTAGCATCTATGTCCATCAGGGATATTGGCCTGTGGTTCTCTTTCTTTGTCATGTCGTTATTTGGGTTTGGAATTAGGGTGATGGTGGCCTCATAGAAAGAGTTTGGAAGTGATCCTACCTCTTGAAATTTTTGGAATAGCTTGAGTACAGGTGTCAGTTTTCTTTGAATATTTGGTAAAACTCCCCTGTGAATCCGTCTGGACCAGGGCTTTTGTTTGCTGCATCTTGACCAGAAGCGTGTGTGTGTGTGTGTGTGTGTGTGTGTTTTGTAACTTCCCAGTTTAAAACATAATTTGATTTCACATCTTAACCATTTCTGATGTCTTTCTTCAGCATTGCAGTCTCTCTGGTGTTTGAACAATTACTCTCTTACCTTCTTAGCCACCATAATGCAGTCACAGTATATTAACATTTCTTTTAAATCTGTGTCATTCAAAAGAGAAACAAGTTCCTCAGGCAGTTGTAAAAAGTCCCGACTACTGGAGACACAGTGCACTCATTGATTTCTATTCTGAGAAGAAACTGAGACTTGGGAGTTATCCCACAGTTATTTTGTAGTATGTCACAAAGGGTGAGTAGGTATTGTGGGCAAATGTAGGTAACTTGTTTTTCTCTTTGATAATGAATTTTTTATTTTGTGCTTTCTGGTGAGTATTGTGGTCTTTGAACTGGCTTCTGAAGCAATTTAGAAGGTAATTGGGTCAATTAGCATCTCCATGGAGGAAAAAAGTTGTGCTTCCTATTCTGCCATCTCACATTAGAATTTAAAGAATATTTACTTGAGTGTAGTGTTTCATACTTAATTTGCTATATTTCAGCTCTGTCTTCTCAAGTCACCCAGGGTTTGTTTATAAAGTCAGACGTAGAAGATTCATTCCAGAAAATGCAACAGGTAAGATCTAGCACGTGTGGCACTGAGAATTTACACTTAATGAAAGTTTTGTAATGGGTGAAGTAATATGAAGAGAAAAAAAAGGATGTTCTGATGGATATAATCAAAGTGGGGCAATTATCCTTAATAAAATCCTTGTTGCCTAAGGAGATTAAGTATATAAAACATCTTGGGGAAAAGAATCTTGAAAATATCTACTTTTCATCAGCTATGTTGACAGAGCAATGGTCTCTGAACGTAAAGACCAATAAAATTTAAAAAACATATTTGCTGCCATGGTTAGTGTGGCACAGTTGATTGGCGTTTTGCCCTATATAATGAACGTTGTGGGTTCGATTCCTGGTCTGGTTGCATGCAGGAGGCCATTGATCGATGTTCTTCACTTTCTCTTTTCCTCTCTCTCTACTTCACTCTCTATAAATATCAATAATCATGTCTTCAGGTTAGGATTAAAATGAATAAAGAAGTGAATAAATAGATATATAGATAAATCAATTAATACATACATACATCCTTATTCCCTAAAGTAAAATTTGGAATATCAGAGAAGTCAGCTAGTCCATTGTGCAAATAATTTTGTGAATGATCTAATGTAGGATTTGATTAAATTGTCAAATATTGCTAAAATGTAGGTCTTTCTAAAATGAAGGTAAAAATTATTAGTTTTGCAAATCCCTCAAAGAACTTTCCATTATTCTTTCATGGAGAAATATTCACCTGTCTTTCAGAGTGTATACATTTTGTAAATGTGGGAGGATGTAGATAGGTATCAGAATAGGTAATTAGAAACAACTTTATATGTGCAATGATATTAGAGCCCTCTTTAAAAGATTTTATCTCTTCAATGATTACCAGAGTTCACCTAATGAAGAGAGAAGTAATCAATGTAATGATTACTGCAATGAATGTGGAAGACTTAAGCAACATCTGATAGTCCATTCTGGGGAAAAGCCTTATATATGTGGAGAATGTGGCAAAGATTTCAACTGTTATAAAAGCATTACTCAACATCAGAGAATTCATACTGGAGAGAAGCCTTATAAATGTAAAGAATGTGGCAAAGCCTTTATCCACAGGTCAAGTCTCATTCAACATCAGGTAATTCATACTGGAGAGAACTATTATAAATGTACAGACGTTGGCAACACCTTTAACATGTGTGGAACCCCTAAAGAACATGAGATAATTCATTCTGGAGTAAAGCCTTATGAATGTAAAGAATGTGGCAAAGCCTTTTTCTTGAGCTTAGAACTGGTTCGACATCAGAGAATCCATAGTGGAGAGAAGCCTTATATATGTAAACAGTGTGGCAAAGCCTTCACCGGGAGCTTAAGTCTTTCTCTACATGAGAAAACTCATTCTGGAAAGAAGCCTTATAAATGTACAGAAGGTGTTAATGCTTTGAACAAGGGAGAAAGCCTTAAGAAATGGAGAGTTCATTCTGGGGAAAAGTGTTATGAATGTAGAGAATGTGGCAAAACCTTTAACTGGAGAGAAAATCTTCGTCGACATCAGGTAATTCATTCTAGAGAGCAGCCTTATAAATGTAGTGATTGTGGCAAAGTATTTATGTCGGGCTCACATCTGATTCGACATCAGAGAATTCATTCTGGAGAGAAGCCTTATAAATGTACAGAATGTGGCAGAGCCTTTAATGAGTGTGGAAGCCTTAAGAAACACCAGACAATTCATACTGGAGAGAAGCCTTATAAATGTATGCAATGTGACAAAGCATTTAGCCGGTCTTCAACCCTTACCCATCATCAGAGAATTCATTCAGGACAGAAGCCTTATATGTGTGTAGAATGTGGCAAAGCCTTTACATGGTCTTCACACCTTTCTAGACATCGAAGGATTCATCAGAGAGAAGCCTTATGAAGGTTGAGTATATGGCAAAGCCTTTACACTGCACAATTCTTACCAAATACATGAGAAGCTTTAGGGGTGTGAGAAGTGTGACAAAGCCTTTAACCTTGCTCTAGCTCTGTTCAATATTGGGGAATACATGATAAATAGAAGCAATCTAAACAATATGGAAAAAACATCAACCATTGCCCAAACCTCATTAAATATCAGAGAATTCATACCAGAGAGAATCCTCACAAGTACATAGAATGTCGTAATGTCTTTATCCAGTGTTGAAACTTTAGTCAATATCATATAATTCTTGCTGGACTGAAACAATTGAAACATAAAGAATATCAAAACCTTTAACCATTTATCAAGGCTCACTGAACTTTAATGAATTCATACTAAAAAGAAGCCATGCAAATCATCCGAGAGATGCAAATCAAAACAACAATGAGGTACCATCTCACACCTGTCAGACTGGCTATCATCAACAAATCAACAAACGACAAGTGCTGGAGAGGATGTGGAGAAAAAGGAACACTTGTGCACTGCTGGTGGGAATGCAGACTGGTGCAGCCACTATGGAAGACAGTATGGAGTTTCCTTAAAAAACTGAAAATGGAACTCCCATTTGACCCTGTGATCCCACTTCTAGGAATATATCCCAAGAAACCAGAAACACCAATCAGAAAGGATATATGCACCCCTATGTTCATAGCAGCACAATTCACCATAGCTAAGATCTGGAAACAGCCTAAGTGCCCATCAGTAGATGAATGGATTAGAAAACTGTGGTACATCTACACGATGGAATACTATGCTGCTCTAAAAAGGAAGGAACTCTTACCATTTGCAACGTCATGGATGGAACTGGAGAGCATTATGCTAAGTGAAATAAGCCAGTCAATGAAGGAAAAATACCACATGATCTCACTCATTCATGGATAATAGAGACCATTATAAACTTTTGAACAATAATAGATACAGAGGCAGAGCTGCCTCAAACAGATTGTCAAACTGCAGCAGGAAGGCCGGGGAGGGTTGCGGGGCAGGAGGTAGGGGGGTAAGAGATCAACTAAAGGACTTGTATGCATGCATAGAAGCATAACCAGTGGACATAAGACATTGGGGGATAGGGGAGGCTAGGGGACTGTCTAGGGCGGGGGGATAAAATGGACACATATGTAATACCCTTTGTAATACTTTAAGCAATAAAAAAAAAAAATAAAAAAAAAATAAAAAATAAAAAAATAAAAAGAAGCCATGCAAATAAAAAAGTTCGGCATAGCCTATATTCAGCATTTACATCTTAATTGATGCACAAGAATTCATACTGGAGAGAAACTTTAAAGAACGTGCAAACCCTTTACCTCGCCCTGACTGGTTTGGCTCAGTGGATAGAGCGTCGGCCTGCAGACTCAAGAGTCCCAGGTTTGATTCCGATCGAGGGCATGTACCTTGGTTGCGGGCACATATCCAGTGAGGAGTGTGCAGGAGGCAGATGGTCGATGTTTCTCTCTCATCGATGTTTCTAACTCTTTATCCCTCTCCCTTCCTCTCTGTAAAAAATCAATAAAATATAAAACAACAACAACAAAAAAACCCCCTTTACCTCGACCCAGAGTCTTCCTGAATATCAGAGATTGCCTTTGAAATAAGTGATGAAAATCTTTCCCCCAAATACACATTATAGAAAAGTCTGCAGAATTTGTGCGTGAAAGTGACTTAAAGAAGTAGAAAATGTGTGAAAGGAGATAATGCAAATTAATGTAAAATATCGGAGAATTCACGTTAGAAACTAGTAAGTCAATAACACTTTTCAAATATGGCTTTAAATCAGAATACTTATTTTAGACAGTCTACTAAGGATAGTTACATGATTTTTTAGTATAAATCACAATATCAAGGGGATGAATGTTAGGACAAACGTAATTTGCCTCCATTGTATCCTTTTTTTAGTATAACAGAATTTGTGATTTTTTTTAAAAAGGTATTAATATGATTAATTTATTTCATGATTCTTTGAGTGGTTGTAAGGTGTATTTCAACCCAAGGCAATACAGTGTGTTTGCAATGCTTTGTTTAGACTATGTGTGGACTTAATATGTTCATTAATAAAGATGAAGTAATTGAAATATGTTAACAGTGATGTGTAATGAATGAGGTGTTGACATGCCATCAGTCTTAATGGTTCCCACCTTATTCACCATTGTGGCTAACAACTTGTAATCCAGTGGAGTGACATCATTTACTCACAGGCCTTAAACCCTAAATAATGTGTAATGAGTTTACCCATAATTTATCTTTTTATTCATTGTACCTGCTGGGACATTATGATGGTTACAAAAAATATCTAATGGGATTGTTTTTAAGGGTTTATATAAAAGTGTGTGGTGTTTCAGTGTTGTCATTTATTTTGTGTAGCTAAAACATTTTGAACTGAACTCCCATGAAATCCTAATGCACACAGACACCAGATTCCAGTGTCATAAGTGAATGTAAGTTTTTGATATGACTTCTCCAGCAGTCCTTGTGAACAATAGTCTTTTGTGCATCTCAGGGCCTTCAATTTGTATGCCCCTTATGTAAGGTTTCTGAAGAGCTAGCCAAACCTTGCTGATTTTGCTTTGAGTAGAACAATCTGGACCTAGCTCAAGAACCCCAAGGCACTCCACATAGTGATCCTAATACAGACCTACACTGTGTGTACTGCCACTCTCTTCCTGCATCCTGTCTTGCCTTGTGTTAGTCCCTGCAGGCGTGCCGTGTACTTCCTCCGTGAGTTATAAACTTTTATTTCCAGTTTATCTGTGGTCTTTTGGGAAACTGCTGGACACCATCCAGTACCAGGGGGGTTTCCTTAACAAATGCTAATATAACAAATATCTAAAAGAATACATTGAGAAGCCCAATTTTTGGTTTTCTGCATCCTCACAACATTTTTTCATATATATATAATGTATACATATATATGTATATGTTTATACATATATGAATAGCATGGACTTTTTCTGAGTTTTTATAACAGCTGTACACATTTTGTTTTGCATTAAATGCAGTATGTAAATATAGTAACATAAAAATGTATTTAGGAGTAAGAGGAGTAATGAGGAAGTTTGTGTGTATGTATGTACTCATATCTTCAGAAGAAAAGGGAAATAATGGATTAAAATTGGTTATTTAGAAACATTTGCTGATTTACTAACAAACCTTACAGATTTATTATGTGAAGTATCTTTTATTACATTACATTGATTTTTCTCCCTGATCTGATGACTCTTCTCAGATTCTCCTACTGCAGTTCTATGCTTTTTACATTTCTGTGTCTCATGTAAGATGCCGTATATTTTATTTGTTCCATTAGAGGCCTGGTGCATGAAATTCGTGCATGGGGGTGGGGGGTGGGCTTCAACTTGACATGCACCCTCTCCAATCCGGGAGCCCTCAGGGGAGGTCCTACTGACGGCTTGGGCCCGCTCCCTATGGTTCTCTGCTCTCTGCGGGGCCTGCCTGCTCCATACCACGGCAACAGCCAAGCAGGCCCTGCTGGGTGCTGCCTGCGGGCACACTTGCCTGCTGGGCTCACATTGCCGGGGTGACGTCACTAGTGTCCTGCCCCGGCCGCAATGTGCGTCGCCATCTTTGTTGTGGAGTGATGGAGTGAGGGTTAATTTGCATATTGCTCTTATTAGATGGGCTAGCTCATGAAATGTTCCTTATATGTTGTGCTCAGAGGAATGGCTTCCATTGAAATCATTATTATACAGAAATATCTTGAAAATGGAAGTAATGTCACAATGAGCATATGAAGTTGTAGTTCATGTGGTACACTTCATACCATCTATTTATTAGAAAAACTAAGTCAGTATTCCTTTAGTTACTATTTTCATTGTTTATTATTGATGTCACCAAAGACATTCAGTGTTTGCCCATTTATTCAGGTCACAACTTGGTGGTGTCATAAATTATGGTGTTTTTACAATAATATGAAGTGAAGAAACATACCACATTCAAGTTGTGGAAGAGATACTCCATTATTAGAAGGAAAACATTGCAATAGGAGTGATGTAGTATTAAATAGCAGATGGAAAAGAACCAGGATGAAAAATTGATATGAATTCAGCATGTGGAAAGAGAGGATATCTTTTTCCAGGATGCAATACTGACTCTGAAATTAGTAGCATAAATGATACTTTTTTCATTTCCTTCCTATCTCCAATTCCTTTATTTCTTTTCATTCCCAGCTACATAGATATCACAGTCATTCTCTTTTGAGGTGTTATGACTATACCATCTCCCTATTCTCCCCATCCTAAATCGTCCTTACAGATCGTTTGTTTGGAATTTATGTAATGGGGGAAACATCAGATAGTATTGAAAATTTTGGATTATATTTTGAATGAAAAAGAGACCTCACAACTTACAATTTCATTCTGAAATCTCTCTTTTGGAATGTGAATATTGAATGCTGGAAAACATGAGAATGGCATCTGATTTGACAATTGGAATGATCTTCCCAGTCACAGTTTTATTATAACCCCGAATAGCCCCAGCAATCTTGTGAAAGAAGAGCAAAGTTGTCAGAACCACACAACATGATATCAAACTATACTACAAGGCGTTAGTAATAAAGTCAGCATGGAACTGGCATCAGCTCATACATAGATCATTGGAACAGAATAGAAAACACAGAAATCAATCCCCACTTATTAGGTCAATTAATATTTTACAAGGGAGGCAAAATATACAAGGCAGGAAAGACAGTCTATTCTATAAATGGTGTTTGGAAAATTGGACAGATTTGTGCAAAACATCAAATCTATGTCCTTCCACCATACACAAGTATGCACACTAAATGGGTTAAAGACTTAAATGTAAGACTCAATACAATCAAAGCTATATAAGATAAAGTAGGCAGTAAAATCTTGAATATTTTCTCAGATTATCTTGATTAGCTTAGCCCAATCACATGTTATTATGACAAGAATGTCTTGTGAAGACCCCTCCATTGCTCCCTGAATACCTTCTATAAAATTGCACATTCCACAAGGTGCTTTACAGGAAAGGAATTCACAGAAGAACAGAAATGTACATGTAAGAATGTTCAGTGAACAATTGTGTTTATTTCTGGTTCTTTTCATAAATAGCGGACGAAGAATTGCCATGTTGTGACTACTCACAGCTGTGTGTCTGGTCCAGGTGGGAAAGTGTAGGGTGGATTAGGGGCCATGAAGAGATTAAAAGAGCAAGGAGAAGGGCAGGTATGATATGAACAGTGAACACAGTGACTTAGGTGAAGAAAACAAGTGGCACTGAACAGGATGCTCTTTCTTCCTTTTTATTTCTTTAATGAAAATGGTGTCAAGGGTCTATCAAGGTATTTATGAAACTCTCACCAGTGGTGACTCTTAGAGTGTGGAAT